AAAATGCTTGCGACCCAAGCCACTCTGGTTGCGTGAATGTGCTGCGGACGCTTTGGCATCCAAAAACATTTCAAATTGGAGGTTTCATTCGATTCCCTTCAGGAACTCAAATCTGGTTCAGCGAAAAATTTGAATTCAAACAATTTGCGGCTTTGAACATCCCAGTGACAGAAGACATGCAAAAATGTATTGCATCCTTTGAGACCTTGGCACAAATTGCCATATTATTCATTTTCAACCGCAGCTCGCCTGGATTTCGATTCCTTTGAGAATCCCATCTTTGACTGACAATTCAGGCACAGAGGCAGGGGGAGACAAACTTTTCTCCTCCACCATTCCTTTAAATCATTGTCTGGAGCGATTGACATTGTTTTGCACCATATCTGGCAATGGAACTGGACTTGTCCCACATTTCTGGAGATCGAAACGAAGAAGCAGGTGCATTGAGCCGTTGGGACTTCGTATCTGAGCCACCATTCAATCACGCTCTCCACAATAGATTTCCCATTTCCTTAGCTCAATTGTGGCATCCGGAAACATCCGTTTCATTGCATCCGGCTAATACTTACCTCTCTTGGCAACTTCCGTAGCCGTAGCCCGTAGCCTTCCTCCATTTTCTTTTTGAACTGCTGGTATCCAACACTTTTCATTGGCCTTTTGATGTTGCGTTTGAGTCCCAACAGTCAGATAGATAAAAAGGGTAACATGAGACCATCAGACTTTGGATTCAAATATGGATAACATATCCATGTATGCTTGGCAAAGGACATAACCAAGGCAGTGGAAAAAGAGAGAGAACTCATCGTTTACTTTTGGAACCTTTCAGAGTTTGAAGATTTGCGTTGCGGTCGACGTATTCGTTTATATTTATTTATATATATATATATTATTTATTTATTGAATATAAATTATATATATATATATATATTCGATCTAGATGGAAGCCGACTTGAGCCAGAACGTGTAGTGTACTTGTTCACTAATGTTTTGGTTGTAGTAGGACTTCATCTTGTACTGTTGTAACATTTTGGTGCAAGTTGGCTTCCATGTTGTTATGCTTTATTTGTTGAGACCCCAAACAATGTGGGGGTAGGAAGTCAATGTACCAGATACAAGCCACAATAGCTATGGAACAGTAGCGGATGAGGTTAAACATTATCGCAACTGCAGCAGCATAATCTTCTATGTAGATCTATTTCGAGAAGCTCACAAGATCTTCATACAAGAACTTCCCATCAACGCAGAGGATCTTCAGGATCTTAATGCAAAAATGGCAGGATCTCCACAAGATCTTCCCACAAGGACCTGGACCAGATCATGTAAGGACACTGAGAGGATTTCACCAGGACCACAACCTCTTCAATCAAAAACTTCTCACAAGGACCTGGACAAGATCATGCAAAGACTTTGACAACATTTCGCATTGCATTAAGATCTCCGCAACTTTGCGCAAGGAGTTTTCAAAACTTTAAGCAAGATCTTCATGCCAGGACCCTTAAGAGAATCTCACACGATCGTCATAAAAGGACTTGCTGCTGCTGGAGCGCCTTACAAGATCTTGATACAAGAGCCTCCGAAGAGCCTCCCACAAGAGCTTTCATACAAGCCTCTAAGGCATGACATCTGGAAACTCGTCACGCAAGGACCTTTTAGAGAGCATCCCACCAGGATCTCCAGAAGATGTTCTGTTGAGGACATGTACAGGATCACGCAAGGACCTCTTAGAGAGGAAATTAGCAGGATCTCCGCAAGAGCCCTTTTACGCGAGAAATTACAATGAAAATGCCGGCCGCAGACCCAGAGCTTGAAAACCCCGCAGCGCAGACATGGACATGTCACAAGAACAATGTGATGTGAGAATTCTCAGGTAAAATGCCGTGGACCAACACTTAAGCTTACGTTTTGTGCCAGCGTGCACAGTCGAAATGCAGATGGACATGTCACAAGAGCTATTTGACGCAAAAAAATTCAAGTAAATGCCGCAAACGACACTTAGGCCCACGTTTTGCATGAGCCTGCACAGTCGAAATGCACATGGACATTTCAAAAGAACAATTTTACGGGAGAAATTTGAGGCAATGTGTCGCAACGCAAAACTTAGGTTTACGTTTTGTGCGAGCCGATGCAATCGAAATGCGTTTGGACATTTGACAAGAGCCTGCTGCAAACCAAAATCAAACAAAACTCGCGCGTCAGATTTTGCGCGAGCCTGCGCAATCGAGACGCACATGGACAAACCACAAGAGTCAATTTTTGCGAAAATTTACCAAAAAAAAACCGCTGGAAACCACCTTGATCAAACACCGGCCTTTACCCCTACTACCGTAACAACCCCTCAGTGCGGACACACTGTTTGGGGAATAACAGGTCAAGTGAGCGAAAAAAAACGCAGAAAAACAAAACCAACAAATCTACCGTCGCAGCGCGCGCGGGCTCACCGACGCTTTAACGCCCACCGTTGTGAAAAAAACATGGTAACATGGTTTGAAAACGCACAAAATGCCATGAACAAAATTGGATGGTTGACCCGGGCTACAGGTTACCTAACAGGATTGACGAAACACACGTCCGTCTTGGAATGCAAGGCAGTTTCATGTCACCATTCCTGCAACCAAAAATGCGTAGGCGTAGAGTAGATGTTTGGTAGCTTGATAACAAATGCGCACGGTGTGAGATACGGTCATGTTGATTCAAACAATGATTGTCAACCAATTCTTCAAATCGAAAATTAAAACATGGGTATTCGCGTGCAATATTTTGACGGGCAACGGGGGTCCATGCACAATTGCCGGGCGTCAACAGTTTCAAATCATTATAAAACGCTAACTACAGCCAAGTTTGTTGTGCTACCCTGGCACATGCCAGGGTGTGAAACTGTTGGCAAACAAGGACCGGGTATTTAAGGGGTTATTGCGAAATACAATAGGTAAAATATGGTAAAATCAACACATAAAACCACGCAAAAAGGAACATGCCGAATTGTGAAATTTGAAATTGAACATGTTTTGAGTTGTATTTTTTTAATGTCATGTTTTGGTTTTCATTGCCAATCAAACAATTGCGGAAATCTGCGCGGCGGAACCAACATATTGGGGCATTTAGCCGCCCGCTTGTTGTGCAAACCCAAAAATGTGATTTTGGTGCCAATTGCAACGAAAAAATGTTCAAATCAAGTTCCTCCTCCAAACAAAAGTTTAGATGATTTTTAAAACACGTATTTGAGTCCTTAAACATTTATCTGACAAATCCATGAGCAAAATATATATGAACATGAGATGTTGGATTGATTTTTGGAACAAGTATTGGTCGTTCGCTCGTTGAATTTTGAAGGCGGAAGGGACAAAAATAAGGCATTTCAAAGTAGAAAACATGACATCAGGCAAAAACAAAGCGGATTCTTGTATCACGAGCGATCTCCCATTTTTAAATCCCAAATAGGATGTAACCAACAGGTGCCAAAATCATTGATGTGATTATATATCCAATAGCATGTTCAGAAACGCGAATTCTATGTCATCGGAAAAACGGATAGAAATTGTTTGGTTGTGGCATTGCAGTGACAGACAGATAGGAGTATTTACGTCATCTTTTTAATCAAAAACGACATGGGGCTTGGCTTGCGATTGGGATCCATGTCGGGAGGTTTCCTTTTGGCTGCTGGCAAAACAAAATTAGACATGTCTCTGTGACAACACAGATCACCGCGTTCAAAATTGATTGCATGATATTGCCATACAGCAATTGGAGCAGCAATGCCACAGCACGAAAACAACACCATTTCCACTAGTCCAATAAACAGTCACAACTTGTGAGTCACAACAGAAAAAACACTTTTCATTCATTTGGGCAATCACAACATGAACAATGGTGTTGAACAAACAGGTTTCTCACAAACTGGCCGATCAAAATTCAAAAATGGCAGCAGGTTTGCCAGGTCAAGAAGAAAATTTGAGTCCGTTGCTGAGTACATTGTTTGTACTGTTTGTGCGCGACTCGTGCAAAAATATTGTGTTTATTTTCAATAGTGATTTGTTGTTTGAACAAACCGCTTATATAACTTATGACAGCCGTGAGGACCAGGTCACGGTATCATATTTTATGTCTGCCAATTCCGAGGCCACGGTGCATCGCCGTGGGTTCCCCATTTTGCACTTGCTTAGTTTGCAGTTGTATTTGCATGACAACTGTGTGGCATGATTGAGTACGAAGACTCGCATGGTTTCATGGACTTATCCCGAACGGGGATCATTGATAAAAAAAACAGTTCAGGCTTGATGATGAACATGATGAATCTTGGAGTGACTTTGACGAGGACAACTGTTGCTTTCCTGTTGTTTTAAGCGTCGGATCTAGAGTCTATCGGGTTAGTGATGCAACCTTTTATTTATGAAGGCATCGTTGCAATGGTGCAAGGAGGTTGTTCCCTTGCTGAGCAAAACCAACGTGGTACGAATTGTTCAAACAGTGGTAAATTCTTGCAAAAAAAAAAATGGGAAAATCTGTTTGAAAATTGGTTCAATTCAGCCCATGTGACACATGTGAATGTGCGGGTTGTTTGAGAGAGTAGTTCCAGGAAACAGGGCCTGGCCAAGAAACTTTGTGGCTGCGATCGACAGCACCAACGGTGCCTGATATGATTGTTCGATTTGATTTGGAGTGTTTCAATGCAGCTCAAATCAGACATGTAGAGCGCAGTCATGCAGAATTCATACAGGTCACAGTCCAGAGTGCCCAATTCAGCCTAGCGGACAAAACATAAAATTTGGGGGTGTTTCTGCAAACGACTTCCTGAATGCACAGTTCTGGCAGATTGTGAGAGGTGTCAGACAATGTGTGTTAGTTGTGCTTTGTCGCTTTGTTCTCCAAAAGGCTTGCAAACATTGCACATTGCATCTTCTTGCTGCTTGACAGCTTCGAGGACTCCAGATTGTCGCTCTGGTGTCCTTTGACTCGTGCAGTGGCTTTTCTTCCTTCCTGCGCATGTCACAAACGTGACCGCAATGTGCACGCCATGCCAGAAGACATGGCCAAAGCTTGAAGGATGCGAGCCGAAGGGTGAAGACTTCGGTGAAATACTTGATGAAAAGTTAATACTGCAAACCTTGTTGACTTCGCCGACTTCACCTGGACTGCATTTGTACGCCGGGCATTGTGCCGTGCACTATGCCGTATATGCTTGCCAATATGTCTTGCGATGGCTTCTTACATTCATGTTCCGCGTGCCTTTGCAAGGCATACGCCTCAGCACCTTCTTTGCAAGACTGGCTCTGTACATCATCTTCCTCTTGCCAGCCATGATATGTGGACTTGCTTATTGGGCCTTTGCGGGAAAGGACATTTTGAGCATGAAGTACAAGGAACCCTGCAGATTTGGAATTGTTTGTTGGATTTTGTTGGTGGTTAACATTCCGACTTGGTGTTGGCCCAATCAATTGGCAAAAGCAGACCTCTTCAAAGACTACGGGGATCAGTTGTACCAGGTAAGCTTTGATCGATGGGAGCCCCAGATTGACTCCAACAAAATTTGTTGTGTGTATATTATTAGTCCTTTCTTGGAATTATATCAAGCTAGTGATATTAGATTGTGTAGAGATGAGATATCGGTGTTGAAAATTCTTCCTGACTGCAGATCATATGCTGGAGGACAAGGGTACTTTTCGCCACACCGTTGACATCTACTTGCCGAACTCGACTGCAAAAGCAAGACTGGCTGGCAAAGACCCTGAATCACCAACACCTGTTGCTTGATTGTTTCTTTTCCCTTACAGATATTGTGTGTAGCATCACGTAGCAGCGCTTGGAACCATCTTATAGGAACGACTTCCTCGTTATGCCATAGATGTCCAGCGGAGGGTGCTCGTTTTTTGGTTTCTGAAAGATGTCCCAAATTCTTAGATGTTTTGGCCGTTGACAAGGTTTTCAGAGTATTCAGAGTCAGACTCAGCCAAGGTCTTGATATTAGTTGCAGGTGGTGCGTTCATCCTTGGCCACAAGGGCTACGTTACGATGCTTTGTCGTGCGTTGAGACTGGCTGGAATCCTTTGCATTGCAGTTGACTATAGATATTGGCCGCAAACCTCCATTGACGGCATGATTGATGATGTGGACAGTGCGGTTCAGTGGTGCTTTGACAATGCTAGTAGATATGGAGGGGATCCGAAGCGCATATCGCTACTGATCTGCATCTACTGCCTGCTCTTTTTTAGAATGAATTATATGGGCTCAGGCAGTTCCTGTTTTGGTGTGGTTTCTGTCATGGACACAATTCTTATTGGTCGAATCAAGTGTCAAAACTGCGCACATCACAAAAATGTCGAACAGCCTCTCCGACCGTCTTCTGCGTGGTTGTTTAACATAGGAACCCGTTTGTTCAAGCTTTGTTTTGCTGGGACTTCTTCAAATCTTGCGACTTGTCGTATTTTTCTTGAGACCTTTCTTCAGCCTGTTGCATCAGAAAAAACATTAAGCAGTGACAGTGGCTCACTGATTTTGAGGGCAGTGCTAACAGGAAAAGGTTGGACATTTCCGTTTGCTTATCAGTAATTTCCGGACACAGTGTTTACAGAAAATTCCTGCGACGAGGTTATCCGTGATGTCACAGTGATATCCATTGATCCTTGCCAAGGCTTCTGGGTCTCTCCTCTGGTGCACACGTGGCTGGTTTGCTATTGACACGCCGAGCCAAGCCAGGTGAGGATGTTGTAGCTATGGAAAAAAAATAGATATTGCATTTGCACAAGTAGCCCATATGATCAAAACATTGCAATAGAGATGCTTCAAACGAGAAGAAAAGGCACAGTTCTGAATTCTGGATTTATATAAATATGATGTATAAATATGTTGTGCTGCCAAAACTAGTTAAACTAGCAACGTGATCAAGGCAGACCTGTTGATGTCTGGCAGTGTTTCAGAGGCCACGGGAGTGCCAGAAAAGCATCAAAGTCCACACCGTGCACACCAACTTGGTCACCATCAGATTTGGTGGGTTTCATTGGCTTGGGTGGCATCTATGAGTTGCATAGTCGCTTCATGGCTCATTTGCATCAAAAAGGCATTGACGTCTTTTTGCAACAGCTTGTCTTGGGCGATACACAAGCACTTCGAGAAAGCCGTTCGCCAAGCATACTCCTTCGCAGAGACGGAGAGATTGGTCGACACCTACCTCCCGTTCTTTTACTTCACGGGACTGGTGACAAGATTGTCCCACCAGATCAGTCAGAGGGATTTTGTCAGGAGCTTTTGAAGTCAAGAGTCAGTGTCCGTCTTCTATTTCATGAAGGTCAGGGCCACAACGATCCGGTCATACACTCACCTTTGATGAGCAATCATGAGACTGTTGAAGCCATCATTCTATCGATCCATGAGTGGACTTCAGGACAGAAACTTAATGATGGCAGACTTCTCCCTGACGACTCTGACAACATGAACTCAATTTTCCCAGATTCTTGCAGAGCCCAACTTGCCGCGTTACCTACATGGCCCAGAACCCCCGAACCAGTGTGGAGCTTAGTCTTGAGACTCAGGCATTTTGATGCATTTTGATTTTCATGCTTTTTGCACAGATATCATTTCTATGGGGGGGCAGATTGCCAAGGTGATCCAGATTGCTCGCTTTCTGACTCCTTTCTAGAAAATTTTCAGCTGCAGCTGGAAACAGAATGTGACAAAAAAGCTGTGGCTCCCCGGTAAACTTTGCAGACAACTTTTTGACTCAAAGTGACACAATAGGCATCTGAATGTGATTTCAAATGGCCTGCATGCCACCTGGTATGCGTTGCCTTTGACACTCCACTGCAGATACTGTTCTATTGGCCGATTCATTTCTTCAGTTTGGTTCGTCCAGCCCACAGGCTGACATGGCTGATCAAACTGGGGTAATTCGGATTGCTCCGAGTAGTGCATTGCTGCCAGACATCAGGCACATATCAGTGCCAGGAAAAAAGTACTCAGAGCGCACTTGCTTGGTACATGTCCTGCGGGCATTGAAGTTGTGGCTTTTCATGTAGAACAGCTGCCAAAACTCAAAAAACTCAAGATCCTTCGTTTGGATTCATTCGGTTACCCCGGTTGCTCGGTTGCGTTGATGATAACACCCATTGTGCCAGTTGTGCCAGGCCAGTGTGCAGCGTGCCCAGGCGAGAGTGAACTTTGACCTGCTCCCACGTGCTGGCACCATGGGTTGGGTCCTCGTTTCAGATTCTTCAAGTTGCCAGCAGAAGCTCCCCTGAGAGATGTTTGACCTGCAGTGCTATCATGTTTGAACTGCAGTGCTGTCATGTTCTGTCATGTGCTGTTTATGTGCTGTCTATGTGTTTAGGGTAGGCTTGGAGATATTTCCTGAAAGTTCGTTTGAAAATTGCAAAGCTAGGCTCGGATTAAAATGCATGATGGGTACGAATTATGAAATAGCTAGGGTCAGGTTTGGATGCTGAATCTTGTAGGTGTGCTCAATACTCCGTTTGGTTATATGGATGTACCCTCTTCAGGTCATGCTGCCCAGAACTCTGCCATTCAAAGTGAGCGCAAGGCAAGCAGTTCGACCCTACCTTGGCAAGCTCGCTGGCTTTTCACGTTCCACTGTCAAGTGCCAGAATGCATTTAGACATTTTGCATAATTTTACCAGCTCCGAAAGGCAGCAGCCTTCCGAAATCTCGGTCTTACGCAAGATACGCGGGTCGGTAGCCCAGCAACAATATATAATTGTATTGTATAATATTGTATTTATATTGTTTCTGTTGTTGTCGAAGTTTGCTGCTGAGGCTACTGTCGAACAAGTACTGGATCCCAGGACTATGCAAGTGCTCAGCAAGTTCTTGAAACGAGGTCTATTCGCAACTCAACTGCATAAGTGCGCTTCGCAAAGTACTGTGGTGGGCAAGGGAGTTCAACAGATATTGACAAAGAAAAGCTTTGGATCTAACCAGCGAGGGACATCATGGGTTGTAATGTATATAGATAGCCCTAGCCTTTGCTAATCGTGTTTTTTTTTGCCCATGTCTGCTCTTTGAGGTGTCAGTTTGCAGCCGGGAATATTTTGCCGATGTGGCACATAAAAGATGACACGATCACGATCAGTTTACGCATGTACTTGATAAAAGCTGTGATTCACGTTGCTCAGGATGAGATTCATGGATGTATCAGCACTGGCAAAGAGGCCAATGCCCAGTCCTTACATGTGGCAGAGTGAGGGGGTTCTGCCTCAGCGATGATTCTCTGCTTCCCTGTGGAGCGCTCAACTTTTCAAAGGTTTACTACGCTACGACCAATGATGGCCATGAGCGCGCTGTGAAGGCAGTTGACAGTCGATTCACAGCCTTAAACGTGACCGGTCTCGCGGCTACTATGCCACCTTCAAAAATTCAATGCAATGTTCACAATGTGACCGCCAGTTGCTTCTCAAAGTTAAAAACGATGTAAAAGCATAGGTTGAACACGGTGGGGGGGGTGTCGGTGTGGGGTTGCATATATGTATATATTCACATATATATATAAATTTTGAAAGCAATCTTCGATCAAATTCGCAGATGGATCCCTCGTACCCCGCAAACATACAGCCACATATCTCGGTACCCTCCTTACAGATAATGTTGATAATAAACAAGAAGTGATGAACCGCATCGCAGACTCAATCCGCACTTGCAACAGACTCAAACTGTTTTGGACCAAAGCGCAAAACTCCATTTCATGGAAAATTCAAGTTTTTCATTCAATCCTTCGGAGTAAGCTTTTATCTGGGTTGGAAACTATCCAACTTAACCAGTCAGAACTTCATAGATTAGATGCTTTTCAGATCAATGGATATCGGATAATTCTACATATCCCACCCACAAGTGTTGACAGAACAATGACCAATGCATCGGTAAAAGAACTTGTCAAAAGTCATTATGGTGTAACAGTTATAGAATTCTCAAAACTATGGTTGAAAAGAAAAAATCAGCTGTTAGGACACATCATTCGATCAGACCCACAAGATCCCATGCGTCAGGTCCTTTTTCTACCAAATTAACTCATCACTAGAACTGAACATGCAAGGCGAGTAGGCAAACCCAGAGCTCACTGGCTAATTGCAACCTATGCAGATGCTTATAGAGAAAGTGGTCACGTAGATCAGTTTGACATCAACAACATTCTTCAAAGAAATTTAGTAAACGAATTGGCCCAGCAAAGACTCAACATTTTTTCCTGACACTCCATCGCACACCTCTTCACTGAAAGTTTCATCACCGAAAGCTTCGTCACCGGAAGTTTCGTCATCGAAAGCGGGCATATTCCCGGCCCGGCCTCAGAAATAATAGATGTCTACCCCCCCTTTTGATCCCTTTTGCTCCTTTTTGCTTCTGTTCCTCCCCCTTGTTTGATAATTTGATTTTTCCCTCCTATTCCGTGATTCAGACAAAAAACGATCATGGGGCTGCAAGGTTCACAAGTTCAGTTTCATTCTGCGAAGCAGATAGCTAACAGTTGGATTCTGCACTCAGCTGCAGCTGCGGCTTGTGCGAAGCAAAAAAAGAGATACATTTGACATTGCACAACTGTTTTCCACCAGCAGTATCCTTCTTGAATTTAAGATGACCATCACAATAGTGCCTCCAAGCCAAATTCTGCACAGGTCTACAAGACGTCTATCTTGGTTTTCAAAGATCGAGCCAGATATGTGGAAGGTGAATTTCGATTCCGGCAGGACTGGGCTCTTGAGCAGTCGCATTTCTTTCGACGATCCACATTGAAATGTTTTTTGCCAGGGCTACTGCAAGGGCAATCCACGCAAGATGGTCGCGCAGTGGGCGGAAAAGGACTGGGTCAATGGAAAGTGGACTCGCCTGGACGTTTTGCATTGGTCATGTACTGAAACTTCATGAAACTTCTGGCCTTGTGTCAGGAAATGAGGAATCTCCGGCGACTGGGAGCAGCAGGTATTCCATGCCCAGAGGTGTCCGCATAAACTTGACGGCCGCAAACCCTTTCAGAGATGGGATTTGTGCAATTCAAAATAATTCAAATCTCTGCCAGAATTAATGTTTTCAGATGTTTTCATACTTGCAAAGACTATTGCAGATCAATGTATCTTGGATAGTCGCTCTTTTCAGATCTGACACTTCATTTTGTCAACATTATAGAGAATACTGGAGCGAAAAAAGACATCGTTTTGTCACACGAGTGAAGTTTCAGTTGAACTTGAAAGAAGGCCCAACACTTCAGGGTTTGCAGCATATTCGGTAGTCGACGCTGCAAGGGATTTCACTTGGACATGGTAGATGTAAAATATCTTTAGTTTGTGCTCTGTTTGCCTGCGTGATTCGTCCTCTCAAGCCATGCTATATAGCCCATTTCGATCCATTTATTGCAGGGTAGTCCCCCAGATAATTTGATTGATTTTACGATCTTGAACCTCTTCAAATGTTCGATTTCAAGCGGGCTTATCACCACGGTGCAAGCAAGGACGGCTTCTGAGAAAGCAATGCCCCGTTTCCGTTGCTCAAACATTAAGCCAAAACCAAAGTTCTTTACAACTCTGTAACGATGTGCAGTTTACATCGTTCTCCCATCAATCCTATTCAGTGCTGCTTGCGTTGTAGGTGATCGATGTACGACAAAACGTGCTTGTAATGGACTTCCTTGGTCACGACAGCACTGCAGCGCCCCGCTTGAAGGACAGGCAGACATAGATCGTCAATAAAGTGTCTTTTGATTTCTGATATCATTAAAATTCATTAAATATAAATTAAAATATATTAAAATTATATATCATTTACACCTGGAGATTCAATTCTTTCCCAATCGGAGGATGCCGACGGCATAGACGCTGCAGCGTGGGAGTCGCTGTACATTGACTGCGCAGTTCTAATGCGCAAGATGTGCAGCTGGCTTTTTTGAAAATTAAGTGTGGCTTCATATCCTACAAATGTTTCAGCTTTATCTTCATGTTTATCTTGCTTTGCCCTTCAAGACTTGAAGGATGCAGCAATGCAAGCTGGTACATGGTGATCTCTCTGAGTACAACATGTCCTGCACCAAGTTTTTCATGGTGCCTGCGACGACAGAGAGAAAAACCTTCAAAGTTCAGAAATGTTCAGAATGTGCAGAAAAGGCAGAGATGAGAGCTTTCTATCAGCGAGGCTTTATCATGATGGACAGCTCTACATCATCGATGTGTCCCAGTCGGTAGAGAACGAGCATCCGCAGGCATTGGACTTCTTGAAAAGAGATTGCGTGAATGTGGCTTCCTGAGAAAGACCTGACAAATTCCTGATGCTTGCTTTGCTGCGTCGTCAGTCCAACAGCCTGATGACTAAGGTCAACAACTTCTTTGGAAAGCGCATGGCCTCCCGGCCTGTTCCAGTCAAGCGGTTGTTCGAATATGCCATCTCCTGAGCTTGTTCATCCATCGCAGCCAATCTGGATGTACGTAATGTACCTGTGAAACAGCTGGAAATGAGTCTCGCAGCATGCTGTTTGTAAGGTTGTAACACGCGAACTCCCGAGGCTTGGCTGTTGGAATTCACTTCTTCATTCACTCAGATAGATTCTCCCTCCAAGTGGCTCGTGATGCGTGGGAAGTTGTAGTGCTGGTCCTTTCGTAGACCAAGTGATGTCAATAGCACATGTGATGGGTTGTACAACAGCTGCTATTCTTTTTGTCAAGCAATTCCCTCTGGTTTTTGACCCAAATGGCCCAAATGTATCCATTGGATGGTGGTTTCAAGGCTTTACTTTTCAAAAGCTTTTGGACTGCGGCAGGGTTTGGATCAACAAGCTTAGTTGAGCCGCAAGTCAGAGAGTAGCAGGTGTTGTTTGGCCCACAGCAGCAGAAAGGGCTTAGGTACAGTAGATGTATCACACCTTTCTATCACACCTTTTCTACCCTTTTCTTTACAATTTTGTCCGCGAAAGATGCCCAAAATAAGATATGTTCCCTGCAGCTAGCAAGGTCCTCCTAGCATTGGTCGTAGGATGCTGCAAGTGAATCTGCAAGCCAATGTTATAGGCTGGAAAAGCCTGAAGCTGCTGAAGTTCAAGATGTACAGGCTTTTCAGGACTGGACTGAAGCACATGATGAGAGCCAAAGGGAGTTCAAACTCAACAGATGATAGACTTGATTGTTTGAGTCTGAGGGCTTTGGCTACTAGAGCAGGACATCTTAAAAGCTGCATCAGACGGTAAATTTGACGAAGATGATGTGGAAGATGAGGTTTCGCCGGGCAAAAGGATTCATCAGATTCGTCAGCGATTCGACTCATTTTGTGAATCGGTGCCTACTCATAGTGTTCGTAGTGATCAAGGGCCTTCTGCGCCTCCCTGAAGGTTTTCATCCAGACTTGGATTCCAAGCAATCTGAACCAGGTGGGCAGTTGTCAGCCAATCTTGCAAGCCATTCTGTGGACAGTATGGATTGAGCTCTATTTTCTTGGTGAGGTGTCCGATCAACGATACCTCGAACGAGAGCTTGAAAAAAGGCAAAGAGGAGAGGAGGCTCTTTCAACAAAGAATGCTTGAGAAGTTGCACTTATTGAGCACTTATATGAATTTCATTTTTCTCTGCATGAGTCCTTTGAGTCCTTTGAGTCCTTAAATGTGAGGTCCTCTACGAGCGACTTCTTGCTGACAAGAAAGCGGATGAAGGTCAATCTCAGTCGCAGGAGACTACCGCAACTCGCAAGTGGTCCTTGGCCGAGTGTAACGGAATCGACCCAGCAATAAATCGAGTGCCAAGAGGTTGGGGTCTATGCGGATGGCGCGTTGGATTTTGGTAGTCCATGCAAGAGTTTTCCTTTCTGATCAAAGTTGAACTCGTTTCTTCCTTTTTGTGCAGGAGAGTTCTGAGAGTGAGGCAGAGGTTGACAAGCTGGAAGACGACCAGGTAGATGATGAAAGTGACTCTGAAGAGGGCAACAAGTGTGATGGGTGATGCGCTTAATTGTTGCTATTTGCAGCATCATAAAAATTCATTGAGTGCATCCAAAATTGAAGATCAGGAGCGCTGGAACTGTGGCACCATGCCCCACTGCAATAGAGCAGTGTTCAACTTTTCGTCAACAATGTGCAGTAGCACAACGATACTATTCCATTGATCCCTTGTGGGCTCGGCAATGAGGCACAAGCCAGATGGTGTAGACAAGGCCAAGAACTTTGTGCACAGATGTCTCCTTGCTGGCTATTGCATCGTGCGAGGCGGAGTGGAAGAAAAAGGCCCAGTGAGAGATTTCAGTCCTTGCAAGTGTTTCCGGTGGCCAAATTCTCGTTTGCTGGCTTATCTCACAGGTGAAGGAAGAAAAACGCGAAAAGCGTAAGGAGAAGGTCCCAAAGGCAGGGAGGGTTACTCAGTGCTAAAAATTGTTTTCTTCACTTTTTCTGTTGAAATCGACCGCCAGAGGATACTTACACTCAGTCTTTCCTTCTCATCCCGTATTACGAAAGCCAGCTGTCAAGCTTGGCTTGAGTTGCTCTTTGCGAACGAAGTGAGAATAGGGGGTCCGGGGGGCGGTCGCTTCAAAACGGACCATTTTGAGGCACTTCCCCAACTGAATAGGGTGGCCTCCGTGGTCGATTTTGAGGCTGATGTACCAGGTGGCAATTGGGTGACGGTGGGGTTCGATTCCCCCCTGGTCCGTCTAGTGACGTGCATTGGGGACACGGAAAAACGTGCATTGGTGGAGGGGGAAATGAAGCAAGAATGGAGTCTCACATGGTCCACTAGTGCAGCATCGGCTTTGCAGCTGCTTTGCAAACTATTGCTGTCTCGAACCATCGCTCCTTTTTTGTTCATAAGTATTTTGTAGCCCAACTGCATGCATGGCTTCAATGCCGGCCCCGATTTTGAGGTCGCCAAAACGGGTGTCTGATCCGAAAGCTTTGCAATCATATGTGTATAGCCATGTGTAGCCCACAGTTTTGCAGTATTGCGGCTTGCAACCAGACAGCATTTGATATCCACCGGACGGGATTCGATGTATTCCACCAGTTTACAACATAGTATCATATCATATCGTGTATAGATTACACACACACATATATATATATGTATATGTATGCATCTATGTATATATGTCTACAAGATGTCAATATATTTTGGGGAGCACTAGATTTTGATCCCGACAAACATGCCGAAATGAAGTTGTTATTGTGATTCTCATAAATATTTATGTTGTCATCCTGTAGTGGATCATGTTTAATTTCTCGGAGGTTATACATACCCAAAAGTGATTTCCACCTCCTCTTTTCGGGCAACTCATTACGCTTTTTGTCGGTCTTGAACGATGCTAAGAATTCTAAACACTTTATAAAAGTGTTGAGAATTGATTTGCGGTCTTGTAGAGCCCAGCATGCGCGTTCGTTGGTCTCTATTCAGGCATTTCCGGTGACGTACATACATACAGACATACAGACATGCATGCATGCATACATACATACCTACGTACGTATGTACGTACGTACGTACCTACATATATACATATATACATACATACACACATACATACATACATACATGCATGCATGCATGCATGCATGCATGCATACATACATACATACAGACACACACACACATACATACATACATACATACATACATACAGACAGACAGACAGACAGACAGACATACATACATACATACATACAGAGAGACAAACAGATAAACAGCGCCCTCTTAGCTTACCTTCAGCAAAATCTATGGAACCCCATCATTGTCATACTCGATGGAAAGATTAGAAAATCCCATTGTTTCCTGTTCCTGTGGAGTGTCAGGTGTGCAGTGAAGAGCCAGGAATGTAAAGTATAACTTGTACAGTATGAAATGTAGGGGTGTCGATTCTATAGTATAGACTGTAAAGTCTAACGTCGAACCAGTCCAGTGTGGAATGTAAAATGCCACATATGGAGTGTCAAGTATAGTATGTCAAGTCTCCTGCACATTCCTTCCCTCCCCACGGATTCCAAAACGGCACTCAATATAGCCTCGCACTGCCGCCTCCTCCACCAACCCCCGCCGAAATCCCTCCCATCCTCTCCACTCTCGTCTCCCCGTTCCAACTAGTTCCTGGCTTTCGTCCCCTCTTCTCAGGTCTTCTTAGATCTTCTTAGATCTTCTTAGTGAGCTGGTGGAGTAACTCAGACAACCGAATAAAGACAGCAATCATGGTCTGTGGGCCAGGCAGGGCAGGCTGTTTTGACTTCTGTTTCAGGCCTTGAAAAAGAGATTCCGGAAGCAAGCTGTCAAGCCCTCAGCTTGCATGGTCATTAGAGGCCCACTCCGCAGCACTAATTTTTGTGATTTGGCAAAGTTTTCGTCTTAAGGCTCAAGGGCGATGATGAGATACCGCAAGGTGAGCAAATGGACTTGTCAAAGAATTGGCAACTCCCTTACAGTAAAAACCTATTTGAGGTTTGTTAGCACTGTTGTACAAACAATAACTTAGTCTCGCAATATGGTGAACTATTTGTGCAAAGTTGTTCACTCCCTGTACAAAACAATTTCATGGAAGCTGCTGTAAGCTAGCGGCTCCCTTGTAGCTCCTTTGAGCTCAGTGCACTAGGAGAGTTTGGTGCAACGCGGCACTTCTAAGACCGCGACGACAACAAAACTCAATTGGACAGAGGAACTGTTCGCTGGAAAATCAAACCTTCAACACTTGGAGAAGCAAACCTTCCCACCATGCTGTTGCTTGAGACTCTGACTTGCTTTGTCTTTTGAGAGTTTGGTGTGCAGTACAGTACCATCTCAGCTTTGCCCAGTCAGCTCATTCCGTCTTGCACTATCTCTCAGGCCTGCCTCATCAGATCCACCAAGACTAAATCAGACATGCATTTCTAAATTTCTGCAATGATATTGATTTGACTCACTCTGAACTCGGTATTCGGCAGGATGGTAGGATGGCAGGTGCAGTCTTTCTGGCAATCCCTTGCATCTTAACCTTCAAACAACACAGTTGCGGTGCATATTTCCATATATTTCCAACATGATTGTTTTCTGTATTTTTCTGTATTGATTCAGACATGACAATTCCTCATCGCCGCCCTCGTCGTTTCAGTCGTTCCAGCTGGAAGCCTAGATGAGCTTAGAAGTGAAAGTCCGAAGGGACTATGTCGGATTCTGTCGGCTATGTGGACTATGTCGATTCCACCTCCTGTGCCATCTACTGAATTGATGCATCATTAGAATCATCAGTGTTTTTGTTTGCCTTGATTGTCAGCCAACTTCTCGCATCGCAGCGGCAAGGTCTCATTGTGAGCATTGCAACGGTGGTTGCGGTGGGATCTTTGGTACACATCAACCTAGTTCTTTGCCAAGGATCCTTTAATCCTGCTGAGCTTCATAGCTGTGAATTCGACTCTGCTGCCTGCATAGCGTAGGCTCTGGGAGTACATGTATGAATTTTTAATCTCGTCGAGTGGTACGTTTTGGCTCGCTGCAATGAAGGGCTGTGAGGAATGTCAACCCAGGGTGGTAGTTACCAATGATTTCTGCACATTCTTGTGAATGCATGACTCTGCATGACATGATATTCTTTTCATGCGCATGCGATTCATGCGATGATTTAATTTCATCTGGGTTGATTGCATCTACTAAAAAGTCATCAACTCTTCTTGGGCCTGTTGCTCTATTGGCAGGACTTGAGAGTTCACCATGGAGTTTGCGAGTGCGAACTGGTGCTCATCAGAGGAAACTTCCATAAATCAATGTGTATGTCCTTCAAGTGTGTGTCTCTGTTTGATTGCATGCGCATACAAACTGTACGAAGCATTTCCTTGGCACCTGTTAGGAGTGTCCCAGCAACCGCTTTTCAAGCTTTAAATGGATTGAGGCTGGAAATCGCGCCGCCTGTCCAGCCGAAAGGCAATCAAGTCTTTGTGCTATGCCTCTGCAATTTGATGCAAATTGACAGAAGCTGGTGACCCATAAGCGATGTTTACACTGATTTTTGCGCGTGGCTAGACGCTAACTATGCAGTCAACGCAGGTAAGTCAGTCTCGTTTTGGACCATGTCAGACCATGTCAGACCATGTCATGCATATTTTCGTGTTTGCACAAAGGCAACCTTGTGCAACATTCACACCCCAGTAAGCCCAAGCATGGAACGCCTTCCAACAAACCCGTTTGAACTGTCAGCTGTCAGCCTTCCTCGCTTCACTTTCGTGGTGGCACTCCTTGGTTGTTTTTGCAAGCTCCTGTGTTCTTGCAGGTGTGCGCTACAGGGCGACCTTGAGATTTGACCTAAGTAGTCACAAGCCAACGCATGCAGTGGCCTGTGAAATCAAGCACTTGAGGGTTTAAGAAAGAGATAATCACAGTGACGCGCCCCCCCAAACAGCCATGGACTCAACTGCCAGGGGTGACATGGCTTCGTTGTCCACGCTCGCAAAAACAAAAACCATCCAGTCTCACCTCAAGAGCCAGTTCTTGCGCTGATAACGAAGTATACTTGTCAATGCCTCCTACAAAAATTAAACCTATCGGTCTTACATGCATTCAACAACCCCTCCCACCTTGGCTATTCAAAACGGACGTTGCGTCTCCGCCTACAAAGGCAAGAACCAGCAGGTGTAGGAGAAATATGAATGCAACGGCGAGAAGATAACTGGAAGATGAAAAGGGGCTTTAAAATAGGATATAAATAATATAAAATAATATACATAATAAGATAAATAAGCCGTTATTTTGTCCTGGAGCCTTGGACTATGGCAGGAGAAAAATAGAGATGTAGCATAAGCCACAGGACTTCAAAGCAACAAGTCTATGCTATGCTAAAGCTTGTGTGCACTATCGCGTGATACGTTCTGCGCCTCCGCAACATGTGACTTGTGCCGACGGGTGACCTGTTTCCAGCGCGGAAACATAGTGCAGCAAGACCTTTTGAAATGCTAAATGGACCCTTCAAGGAACAAGAGTATGAGCACCAATACTTGGACAGTAGAAATATGATTGTAGTGGTTTTGAATTGTAGGGATGCACAAGAAAAAAGCACAGGCTCTCTTACAACAGAAACCGAAGGTTGACTAAACCTTCAAAGGTAAATCGTAAGAGACGAAATACGCACAGTGCAATCTTCATAGGATGAGGCAAGCCGTGCTTGGGCGACTGCGGCATACTCCTTGTTTGACACCAAGTGAAATCAATCGCAACAACGGTCAGCAACGTGTACCTTTACCACACGTTAGCATGTCAAGGGGGCAAAAAGGACGCACCCACAGGCCCACAGTTTACAAAGATTTTTTCCCCACCTCTTTGCCACATCCTAGCCTCACTGGATCTCTGCTGTGCCTGGGTCGTTCTGTTTGCTGTGCCTTCCACTTCCCCGCATTGGCATTTAATTTGATGAATTTACATATAGTTTGAACATGTTTGAACTAGTGTACAAGTACGCACGAAATATGCAAAGCATGTCAGGGCACCGAGTAGATGGTCCCTTAACCATGTGCTGGCACATGAGAAGACGGTCGCTGGACATGGTATCACACTAGTGACAAAAACAGCCGAGCGTCCTTCTGCATCTCATGCCCTTTTTTCCCCAAGACACGTCCCCTTCTCCTCCTACACCTAACCTACCTTTCGTCCGCCTCTGCTTGTGTCACAGCCGCTTTTCATAGGAATTTAATCAAGCAACAACATCCAAAATCACAAGACGTACAATTTGGAAGTGTGAAGTTTGGCCACTGGCCCTTTGTCACACTTTGTCACCCTGGGTACGCGAGGCATAACATGAGTGGGAGGAATATGGCGATGAAAATATGACAGTTTGGTTCTCGTTTATGGTGGCATTTTGAGTTGCTTCCGAATAGTTGGCCAATCTCTCGGACTCGCTGCCCATGTAGCGGCTCAAATGTCTTGCCTCCAAAAATCCTGGACGTGCATTGTGTTCCTGATTTGGTGGCTGTCCGGGTTTGGCCATTTCATTCTTGCAGACTGATTGACATTGGTTTTGGCATTGAACGTGATCATTGTCCTGTTTCACGCTATTCCCTCTCCCTCTTTCTCTTTCCTCAGCTCTTTCCTCTATGGGGATGGTTGTCAATGTTGTCATTGAATGAGACCTTTGAAGGGAAACTAAGTCTGATTCGTTTGCAGCCTCTACTTCACTTTGTGTCTAGGCCATAGGCTCTGTGCAATCTTACACTGCACCTTCCTGCGTTTTGCTTTTTTTTGAACTTTGTAACTCGCGACGTAACAGATTTGCAAACCGGAAACTCAAGCTGCAAGTTCTTCAAGTTCTTCCACCCCTTAGAACCTTGGAGTCATTCAGCTTTGCGTCCAATAACAAGTGGATAACACTCTGCAAACATCATGCAACTTGATTGACTGTTGCCGGCTCCGATTCTTTGCATGCCTTGATATTGTGAGGCAAAACTTCTGGGAGATGTCTGAGCTTGAGGAGAGCCAAGATTGCAGAGTTTGCAGAGTTTCCAGTTCCGAGTTTGATGCCTGTTCCAACTAGCCCGTTCTTTCACATCATGAAGTCAGCTACTTAGCTACCCATACCGTGATCAAATCAAGACATTTTGCTTGGCTGGACGTTCCTGAAATTCTACAGCAGAAAATGGTTGGATTTGTTTGGACTTGGTAGGACTTGATAGGCCCTGGCAGTTGCATTTAGTGATTTTAGTGGCATTTAGTGGCAGTGCAATGTGAAGATCTGTGAAGGAGCAATGGAAGCCTCTTTTGGAGCGAATGAATGACCGCATGATGTTGATTGAATCTGGCTTTGAGAGCGCCCAAGACAAGGCCTCAGCTATCCAGTGCCACTTGCGAGACTGCCTCTGCTCATTTTTTGTTCTACTATTTTTTTCCAACATGTTTGAAAGCCATTAATTTTGACACAAGATTTAAGTCACGGCTATTGGCGTTGAATATTGTTCTATGGTGTTTCTGTTTTGAGTTGTCCGACAACTTGATTGTCCAAGTTCGATCCTGAGCGCTGTATGTAGTTTTGCAGGTGGATGTGGTGTCACATTCGCCAGCTGCTCCGGCCTTCTGGATTCTGATCAGTCTGCTGGCATTTACCTTGCTTCTTCTCTCTTTCATTGGCCTCTACACTATGTTGTCCCTTACTCTGACTTCAAGGCACCAAGGCTGCAAAGCAGAATGGGAATTGAACACTTTGTCATTTGCAGACAAACCACTGCAACACCAGAAAACACAAAGGAGCTATGGCAACAGCAACAGCAACAGTATGCAGCAGCAACCATGATATCATTACCATCATCACCATCAGTACCATCATCACTATCACCACTATCATCATTCTCACCATCAGCAACATAACATGTTCATCTTTATCTTCATCTTCATCTTTATCTTCATCTTCATTTTTAACAAGAATGATGACGTCGACAGCAACAGCAGCAACAGCAGCAGGAACAACAAGAAGAAAAACAACAGCAACAACATTATTGCCAAGAGCAACCACAGCAACAGCCACGAGGATTGACATACGGCACCATGAATATCGATCGTAATCGCAAAACCATCCCCATTTGTGTTGGGTAGTTCAATGAATCTGCACAAACGTGGGAGCTTCAGGGTCCTCTGAAGGAAGACAACCGCTGGTCCGTGATCTGCTAGTGCACTTATTCCCCGTTTGTGATATCCTAGAGCAAATATCAGGGATAGACGTCCGGGATAGGTGTGGCTCTGTTTGCTTTGTCGACCTGCAGAGGCAAAATAGAGAGGACAAAGAGCTCAAGCGGCCAGCTCTCCGAGCGGTGCTTCATGCCTTGGCAATGGATACACCCTCACCAGATAGGACACTCGATGCAGAGGCAGTTTGACTTGGGCCTGGAAGGGCTGGGGTGCTTGGATCCTGCTTGGAGCGTTCAGAAAAGCTTTTCAAACACAGATTGAAATCAAGCTGCACAACTGATGAACTTGCCATACACCCAGCCTTGGCTTCAGGTGGTCCGACGGACTTTGAGATTTCTTCGGCGCATTGCACCACCTGTCAGTCTTGGCGAAGGTGTAGCAGCAGCCATGCAGCGAGAGCAGGAAGAGCGAGCTGCTGCATTGCGTGGGTGACTCTTAGCAAAGGGTTCCAATTCTTTCTTGAGTGCAGAAAATGCATGGACATAATCTGCGACACATGCCATTTAAAGTCTAACCCTCATGTTGCTTGTGTAAATTTTTGAGGCATTTTGAGGCATGATTGTCCTGCCCAAACGAGGTATTCCCGTGTCCACTTTTCCAGAAGAGATTCTGGAACGCCTTGGGATGTTGAAGCATCTTCCACAGGACCATCTGGAGAGGTTTCGGTTGCTGTTGAGGCCGGGAGTATGGTGATGGACTTGTACTCCCTCTGTCAAGGAGTGGTCGACACATTGGTGAGAGTAGAGCACTGTAGAGCACTGGTGGAAAGTGTCGAGCATTTGCCGTGCCTACAGGGCCTACATTTGTTGTTTTTGCATTAGCACTTATCTTGTTTCCAGCTGCTTGTGGACTGCTTGCGGTTTGTGTTGACACCGGGCTTGGCTTTTTGCTGATGCCGGGGTATCTCTTTCTTTGGGTGCTAATTCAGATGTGCGATATTGTCATTCGGCGTTCCCTGATGAAGTGATACATCTTTGCTGGATGTCAGCTACTTGGTGTAATCAGTGGTGTATCTTCCAACATCTTTGGTGATTATTGTTTCGTTCTGCTATGTTTGCACTGTTGGCACGTTTTCCCTGTGCTCTAGGAAAGGTTTGATGTGGGTAGTTTTACGATGTTACCTTCTTTCGGATCTTCAGCGGGATTTTCTGCTGTTACCTTTTGTGTGATGTGGTTTGTGCTGTCATCATTCATTTGATGTGGCAACTGATGCTACCAATGTTGCCTATTTGTCCCTGGACTAGTGGAATCCGAACAAAACAGTCAAGGGGGGAGTTATGAAATTTGTTGCTGAATGCAAGATGCCATCCAACCTGCTCATGTCTTTGATTACGTGTCAGCGGTTAGATGGGCTGAGAGATTAGCCGATTAGTTGCTTCTGGATGACAGGCTATGGATGTGCGCATACGCCAGCGCATGTTGGATGCTGCAGACATTGGGCGGCCAGACTTTTCAAAAGCGCGTCTACTCGCTGAGCTGAATCAGGCCCACACAGTGCACAGGACTGTCTCAGGCCGACAGGTGCTGTCGTCAGGAAAGTCAGGGCTGTTGAAGCCAAGTCCCGCAACACCAGGAAGATTTAAGTTCATTCCGGCACAGATCGATTAGTCTTGTGGTGTCAATCTAAACAGAAGGATGCCCTTTTCAGCTACTTTTCGCTATGTACAAGATCTCGCAATTTTCAGCACTTTGAACCTGTATCGGTGACAGCAACAGGGTCGTTGAAATTCTGCCGTCGTCTGTCTCACTCTGTCCGAAGTAGCCTCCTCACTGTCTCAGAAGGACACCAGGTAAACACCGTCTGCATGGCCGCAGGGCTGTCACGTCACTACCCCAGCAATACCATTCAACACTTTTGAGATCTGAGTTCTGTTCAATACATGACATGACATGTATCTCAAATGATCTCAAGCAAAACTGAATGTCTGAACTTCAGGAGGCTCCCAACTTGGGATGTTTGGGATCCATTTTTGGGAAAAGGTGGGTGAAGGAGCCGCTGCCGCCACAAGTGCCAGGTATTCTTGGCCTTTCAAAAAAAGCTTCGCTAAATTTGCCCACATAATCCACATAGATGTGTCCAATCCTGCGGACCCAAGCTATCGTTTCCTATAGCAGCTATAAACCTGGACCAAGCAACATTTTTTTAAAACATGGAACACACCAGAACGGCCGTGGAAAACTCTGACGAAAGGCTCCAATATACTCCAATGCCCATGTTACACCCATGTCCTTTAAGCATGGAGGCGCAAAAAAGTCCGCTTCCGGATATTGCAGAAAACGCTGGATCGATTCTGCTCAAGGCTGGAAGGGTTTTTGTTTGCAAACGTGTCTAGATGAATAGAACACAACCTTTTCATTCTATTGTAGCATTAGTAGCATTCCTGTTTTGACCAAAACACATTTTGTGCCAGGCATTCTCCTCTCCAGAGGATCAGCAAGCACTGATGATAGCCCTGACGGTTGCGGCAAAAACTCTGCCATGGAATCGATGGCGATTCAAGGAGCTCAGACGGATTGTCTTCACATCAACAAGAAACGGTGCCAAACTTCTTACTTTTTCTCCAGGAGGAAACCCTCTGCAGCTTAGTGCAGCTAGGTGCTGACTCAAGAGCCATTGTTGTCCCTTGGCAAAATCGGATTCGCACAAATCGCATTGCTTCATTTGCGATGCCATGATGGCCATGCTCGAGCTGAAGGCTTTACTCCTTCATGATCTCGATGAATGCCTCGGACAACCTTGGACTGTGGTCGCGCAGGCAAACCAGAGTCACCAGAGCTAAACCTTGGGGTTAAGCAGTGAGAAGCATCGTGAAGCACGTGTTCCAAAAGACATGTTGGTCAACATGTTGCAACAGTTGCAATGTCGAAAAATGCTCCAAACATCTCCAAACTATCACAGTCCTGACAGGTGTTCGAAAAATGCCCCGAGCTGGGAGAGGAAGTAGTCAATCTCATCGGCGAGAAAAAGAGGCACCTTGAAGCATTTGATAGTCTGTTTGATAAATCACTTGGATCTTTTCATGATGCATTGTTTGCATTGTCTGCATTGTCTGCATTGTTTGCATTGTCTGCATTGTCTGCATTGTCTGCATTGTCTGCATTGTCTGCATTGTCTGCATTGTTTGCATTGTCTGCATTGTCTGCATTGTTTGCATTGTTTGCATTGTCTGCATTGTCTGCATTGTCTGCATTGTCTGCATTGTTTGCATTTGTCTGCATTGTCTGCATTGTCTGCATTGTCTGCATTGTCTGCATTGTTTGCATTGTCTGCATTGTCTGCATTGTCTGCATTGTCTGCATTGTCTGCATTGTCTGCATTGTCTGCATTGTCTGCATTGTCTGCATTGTCTGCATTGTCTGCATCTTTTGTGTGATTTTGTGTGGGTTTGGCATACCGCGAAGTCTCGTTTAAAACTTCAGCTAGGCTTGAACAGCTTTCTCTACTCCTGTACCTTCGTGCGTTGTCAGAGGACCTGACCGTTATGGACTGGTTTTAATATGTTCTTAGTCTCAGAATCCCATGGGCTTGGGAAGAACAAACTTGGCGTCAATGATGTGCAATACCTACTTAAGACTGACTTCAGCCCTCAGTCTGCAAACTTTGAGCAGGACAACGCCACCTGTCATGGTCAGGACCTCGAAATAGGGTTAACTTTGCATGCAGATAAACATGTACACACGAGCTGCACATGGAATCACATCAAAATAAGAGACTACTGTAATCTTAAGGCGCTATAGCGAATACACTGGTTCATATTGTGTCGCATTTGTTCACCTTTTCACGTTTTGGTATTTTTTGGCATTAGTAGTCACAGTGCAAGAAGCAGACGGGACCTCGTGAAGTGAACATGCAATGTGCGATATCAAGGGCATAACTGGGAAGGGCATTGGTATATAGATCATTTGCGGACATGAATGGGAAGCCACCGGCTTAAACCCTTGATTTGACAACATTGTCTGCCCGGCAACGATGCGGTTCATGTCAAAACTGTCAAGACACATGGAGGAGCGGCTTGCTGCTTCTCAGCTAACTCGGCTCCTCTACTTGCGACGCTCCAAGGAGACAATGCTCATTTGTTGGCTATTCGCAACCACAGTAAGTTTTGGACTACTTGATCACTCTACTGCATTCTACTGCTAGATGTTGGCTTGCAATTGCAGGACTACCGGGCAGCATTGGTCGAAATTGCAGAGGTGGGCCTTTGTTTCTGACAAGCGAACCTGATCTCACAGTAGTTGTCTTTGGGAAGCTTTGTTTACATACTGCCAAGGTGGCTGAGACGACCTTCCAATGCCAATTGTCAGTGTGCTTCTTTGAAGAAATATCTAGGACAACGACTAAGCACCTGCTTTCCCAATTCATGAGACTTGAATCAAAGTTGAAACTTGGCGTATGCAGGTGGAACAAATGCTTCGCAACCTTTCAAGTGCAGTGGCCTCGCGATTCGGACTCCCAAATGAGGGAAGAGCACTTGCACGTTGCGTTGGGGTCTGAGTTGTGCACCAGCAAAGATCCAAGACTACACTATAAGATGTGGCCAAAACAATTTTCAGTGAGTGAGGACTAGACTATATAAAGAGGTAGAATGGCAACCTTCGAAGCTTACAAAGCCGTGTAATGGCGGTGTGACGGCAACGTGATGCAATGCTGGTCGTTGAGATGAGCAACAAAGTAGAATTCCTCAATCATGAAGTAACGCAAGACTCCTGCTTTTAAGCGGAAATCGCCAGACAGAAATACAGTTCTAGATTCTTTGACATCACTTTGAGGGTAGCTGGTTATGCTTCCACATCATGGATTTCATATTATGATTTTATAGTCAAGTTGCTTTGCAAAGAGTTGCACTAGGCATTGGACCTGCATGTTCCCCTTGCACACGGCCTTGGCTTTGATGCTTTGGCGGATATCTCAGTCAATGCATGCCAATGGCCCAGAAGGGTTGGCAATTATTTTGGAATGCTTCTTTGCAAGATTTGGGCTTGCATTGTCACTGCTGTTCAAATGTTCAAATGTATTCTACATTGATTTGTTTGCCCCAAGGCAAACAGTGGCAGCAATGAACGATTGACACCTTCGCTGGAAAATCGGGCGCTCCGATTGTATTTTCCAGAGGACTACAGCATGATCGAGGCAGCTTTGGCCTGTATTGTCAGGATTGTGCTTGCCTATGATCCTATGCGTGTCATTTTTGACATTTGAAAGCTACCGAATGCTATGGAGCTATGCTTTAATTTGTCTTGTTTTCATCACGCCAGGCATGGATGAGCGAAGAGGACGAGCTTTTGAATCGAACGCTTCAGCGATGTCTTCGAGAGGTGCGAAGGGCCTTGGATGCTGACTCTGACGTCAAGGCGCTGGCGACCTGCAAGGCCGGGCATTGCGTGAGTGGCTGCGTTTGCTTCCGTCAGTGATTTGGTCATTTCGGTCATTTCGGTCATGTCATGAATCCAAAGTGTCTGGCTCTGACCTGACTTTGGCTGCAGTCGAATATGTCCAGACGCCCGTTCCTTCATATCGAGGTACGAGGTCGAGTGAAGAGTGTCTACAGCGTGGTGAAGAAACTGCTTAGACAACGAGGTGTGTCTCGAGAAGACTTGAAAGCTCAAGCTCTCAAGGCCAGAATGAAGTGAAGACGAGAAGTCTATGCCAATCTAGAACTGTGAGCTACTTCTTCTTTGAGTCAATTCTTCTCCAAGATTCTTCTTCTCTGAGCTAATTCTTCTATGTGCTCCTTCTTCCCTGAGCTACTATTTCTTTGAGCTACCTGTTCTATGAGCTACTTCTTCTTCTGCTTCTTTTTCTTCTTCTTCTTCTTCTTCTCTCAGCAACCTTTTTGCGTAACATGTTTTTCCCTGGAGCGTGTTTAGCAACCCTGCACAGCCATTGTAACCAATGCGTTTAGAAGCCTCCAGCTGCATTCCTGCAGCATGAGAGTCGCACCGGATCGAGAACTATCTTTCGGGTAGCCATCAGGATGCATTTCGCAACCGTTGCCTTCTCGAATGGCATGATGCCACAGTCCCAATGCGCACGTTTCGACGCGGCCAGGATTTCGGCACATTTTTTTCGTAAAACCAGCGCTCACGACAGTTCGTTCACTTTTAATGCTTATCTTACAAGTTGCTTTTGCAGTGCGGTGTTTCATACATTTTTTCCAATATTACGAAAGCCAGCTGACAGGCAAGGCTTAGTTGTTGGTTGCTAACGTAGTGAGATAATAGGGGTCTGGGGGATCAAAATGGTGGAAATTCAATTAATGAAAAAGGGAAATGGGGGTGGACGTGGGAGGCGTTTTCCAGGTCATGTAACAGGTCCCAATTTGGTGACGGTAGGGCTGCCATTCCCCCCGGGCCGCAAACTGTGAGGCTCAGCAGTAAGGGGGTTGCCACTAGATGAACCCTGTTGGGCTTGGCACTGAAGATGGCTAAAATATAATTTGACATATGTATTTTTAATGCTGGGAGTGGGAGGTATAGATACAGAAAGGTTTTAGGTATTAGATGGTCCCGCTAAAGTCGTTTACTAGTAGATTTTTGAAGCTCAACGGGGTTTGGGGCACGCCATGATTGAATTTTAGGGACATTTTTCATGGATCTTATCCTTGCGTCTAGTTGGATTGAAGCTTGTGATGGATAAATCGCTTAAGGAGGTGTGTTGGCTAGATTAGCTGTGAGGGGGGTGGAGCAATGTCATGTATGGAGCAAACGTGCTGCGTGTTTTTCTCCCTCCTTCCTTCCTTCCTTCCTTCCTTCCTTTCAACTGGCCAACGCGCCAAGAAAACGCAGCATGTCACGTGCTCCAGTGACATCAAAGCTACAAAAACAAATTATTTCGCACATTTGCTTGCTGTCACATTGACCTACTGAATCCACTGGCCTATTCAGTTGGTTAAGGTATAGTTCATTCACATGTTTCCGTAGCTCCGGCAATTCTCATGTAACGACGCAGACAGCATGAGTCTTGGCCGTTGAGCTGGTAGCAGATGCCAGGGCCAGGGCTTACACAAATTTGGTTGTACAGGCTCGCACACGATATTACTACATAAGATGTGATTGGATGCAAACCAAACTTTTTGATGTGCCGACTCTCTTGTATCTGGCCTCGTATTTTCTTGTCACAAGTGATTCAAAATGCACTGCGCACGTCTGCAATCTGGAAAGGATTTGCTGGCTCTAGAAGTGGTGGTGGACCCTGATCCAAAGGCTGAGGCTGACTGGAGGGATTGCATTATGACTGAATACGGTGCGTTTTGTGCAATTTTACATTGTACAGTAATGCAGCAGAGATCAGGCATCCACAGAACTTGCCTTTACTAAGAGGTCGCGCCGCCCTTGGGCAACTGTTTTTTTTGGCGCCTTTTGTTCTTTGCGCCTTGTGCTCTTTTGTTCTTGCGCCATTATCAGCGAGCGTTGCAAGAGATTTTTTTTGAAAAAGAAAGGTGAAGACCCCAACATTCCCCGACAAGTTAATTTAAGTTGTCGGAACATAAGCATCTAAATATATGTATATATAGATTAATTATATATATATATACAGATACAGTACATATATATGTAAATATACTTGTGATATATATATATATGTACGTAAGTGAGAAATATATTTATGTGCATAAATAAAAACAAGAAGATATGTACATTTGTATGTATATAATAGTGAACATAAATCTATATGTATTCACATGTTTACATACATGTATATATATATATGTATCTAAATGTGATGTTCATTGTGTAATATTGTGTATATATTACAAATGGGCTAACACCCAGGTGCCGCCGCCCCCCTTTTTGAGGCTTAGCCGAGGTACTAAGTAGGTTATATCTCTGGTTATCAGTGGGGCAAGTGGCTTAAGTCCAGGTACAACTGGAGATAATAATTGCAAAAATAAAGGATATTAATTCATGGAGTAAATGTGGTTCAAATTAATGGAACTGAATGGGAAATTGACCATGAAACTTATGGGAACAATGTGATATTTATGAGATAGTCCTTTTCGTTTGATACGTTCATTAAGTAACTCAAAGGGAATCATGGGATAATAGTTGGATAGTATTGGACTCTATAGGATAATCGTATGTCACTGACCTCCCAAGCTCCCAAGCATGGGCACATCATCTACCGCCATGTTGCGCCACCGTGCACCCAGTCCAAATCAAAGCGAGTTCATTGAAGCCCCTACCCCCCCAGTTATGGCCATTTCAATGCGGAAAATGCTGTCCTTAACCGTGACATTTAGGGTTGCCTGTGTTCAAACTAGGCCAAGTATATCCAACAACTGTTTTAAGTTATGACAATTACATTTTCTCAGTGATCTGCGATTCCGACATCTCCCAAAACTGCCAGTGTTCTCGACCTCTCGACATCTCTGAGATTTTCTGAAGGGTCGATTTCTGCAGCCATCGGTCGGTTGCTAGAGCCGATGTAGAAAAAGGCTTTCGTGTCAACGTTTAGCACAACAAAAGGCTGGGACCTTGTGTCGTTTACTATTGCTAAGCGTATACCCAATGCTATACCCCAATTCGGGATGGTTTACTAGATGGTCGTGTTGAAACCCATGGTGACGACTGGGGATGCCCCATGACTGAAGAAAAGCCCATGTGGATTTCATGGCATGATGGGGGTTCAAACAATTTCGAGCTCCTCTGGCGATCTACCAGTCTGCGAACTGGCAAACCATCCTTTTTCATAGGTACATCATCGGACAAAATGGGCTATGGCTTCCAAGTTGCAAACATAAAACCCTGAGATAAACATACAAAAAGATGTGGAGAACCCATGGGGAAAGCCGTTGGGAAAATGAACTGCAAATGGCTAGCAGGAGTGTAAATTGCCAGGGCTTCCCACGATTGAAAGCGCGGCACAAAGCCGAGCGTCATGACTGCTGCAACAGGTAGATGTTGCCCATATAGCTTCAAGGAAACAAGAACCACAAGAACCAGCCAAACTCAACGCACCGAAGATAGCAAAGTTGGTGTATAAATCCAATAACTATTGTTTATGGTACTTATGAGCATAGTTATTGGATTTATAAGCCAACTTAGTTATCTTGGGGGCCCCACAGTGTACCATGAATAGGGATTTAACCATGATTTAAGCATGAACGTTTGGGATTTTACTTGCCAAATTGTGGTATAGCGTGATATTGGGTAATATGATGGGTACTTACCAATGCCTTGGCACAGCTTGGATTGCAGGAGCTGCTTTTGGCACAGCTTTTGAGGAGTTTATCATGGCGATTGAATGGGGATTTCATGGGCATTTTATCGTCTGTTTAATCGTGTTAGTAGCATTCCAGGACTTAGGTGTACAAGTGATCGTATCAGGTAACTACCATAGCTATTGAACATGGGCCACGTATAGTTGATTTACTTATCTAACATGGTGATGCTCCATGGCTATGTTAGTTTACTCGGAGAACAGTAACACCACTAATGTGTGGGAGCCTTGTGGGTACCACACCAAGATATGTGCTTTAGTGGCATACAGTTTTACCCAAACATGACCTTAGCAGCACTTTTTGGGACGGCCGGGTTGGTCACAAGCCCATTCCGAAGCCACTGTGGACAAATCATACAAGTGGTGCCCCAGATCATTAGCTAAGTTGGATTAGAATTTCCACTAACTATAGACTATAGTGATAGATAGTTAAAACAACTACCTATACAGATGTATCTACCACCAACCCAACACACTTAGCCTAGTTATTTCAATCAATCAGCGATTGAGCTCACGGGGCACTCCATGTGCCAGGCTCTTTGCGGTGGTCTGGGAAGCGCGCCGGGAATCTTTGCCGTAGCACTGCGGCCCAGGAAGTTCTGCTGGTGGAACCGAAGCCAAATCTCCCCTGTTCTGAATGGGTCTGGTGCCATATATGGCTATGGATCAATAGCTATACTATCCAGTGGTTAGGGGGGCTAAGGAGCTAGGGGTATTCACAATCCAACGACATCATAGGATAAATACCATTTGTAGGGGGATGGACTTCCATGTGCTTGCTGAATTTTGATGTGAACAAAAAGGTGGTTGTGACACATTCCCACAGTAGAGATGATTGCATCAAGATTAATCAAAACAACCTCCATTTGGGGATGATGAAGTATCCATGGCGTCGGAGATTACCAGAAGGTTCTTTTCAAGAAAGCAGTTGACGAAGCCATCAAGGTCAAAGGGAACATCGGGTGATTGTTGTAGGCAGCATGCCTCGCTTCAGCATGGGTTCGGGTGCCACCCCAAAAGGAGCAGTGCGCTCCAGCGCCACTCCGACACTGGTGTCGCTGCAGGGCATTGTTGCCCCCAGTCTGCCCTCGGTTCAGCCGGTGAGCACGAAGGGTAAGGTAGTTTTCCTCTTCGGCACCGCCACGAAATACCCCTGCTTCAAGTTTGTGGTCGTTGCCGAGGGTGAGCCGGAGTGCAAAGTTCTGGTGAAGTGCAACCAGCCGGCGCCTGTGTCGCTTTCAGTGGATGACATGGTGTTGATCGGCAAGGCCGAGGCCCGCCTCACATGGAAGCGCAACGGCCAGATTCCGGAATCCCACGTAGCCGGCAGGCTGGCAGATGTCGAGCTTGCGGTCAATCTTCCGGGACCCAAGCGCAAAAGGAGCGGGGGAGAGTTTCTTCGAGGTTAACTTTAGCTTGGAGTTGTGTAGCAGCCAAGCCTTCAGAGGCATACCTGTTTCGCTGGTCATTGGCGCCCCCCCAAAAAAACAGTTTGTGTATTGGATGACATGTTCAGTGGCTCCCATGCGTATCCAAACAAGTATAGAAGCCAAATGCAGACAGAGCCGTATCCAAGCCCTGGAGAAACTTTCCAGAATGGTGGGTGGTTTTTGCTGGATGCGGCAGCTGCTGAGGTTAACTTTGCAAATCTTGCCGGACGAGAACTGCGAAGGCTTCCCCAAAGCTTCCTTTGATGTGCTGCCCTCATTGGCTGCAGTTGGCATGCCGAGCGGCGGTGATGAGGCATATTGCTGCGCGCGCCTGAGCATCTCTGAAGTGGGGGCATTGGTGGAGGGCGAGAAGCCTCGTCGCATGATTCGCTGCAGTGACATGGAGGGGGAGGATCCAGCCAGTTCCTTGGTGGAACTGCCCTATTGAGTTAAAGGTGGCCACAGGAAGGGCAACTCAGGTTTGTCGGTGGCGTAGGAGTAAGTGTGGGGCAGGGTTGGCGGATGTAGTGCCAGATGTTTAGCAATCAGTCTGTTAGGGTGTCTGTGTTGAGACTACAACGTGGCCTTCTATGACGGCTGGGCATCAAGCGATCTCTTGGAGGTGGGGAAGACCTTGGTGGTGGCTGGTGTGGCCATTGGCGAATATGCCGGCCAGCCGACCTATTCTGTGTATGCAAACATGGCTTGTGTCATGTCCTGGAATAAGCATTGGTTTGCGCTACTTGCTAGCCTGGATGGTGGTGGTGTGATGGGTCCGCTGCGATGGGTGGGCAGTGATTTCACCTGGCACAGGGCCACTGCCAGGAATGCAGAGATTCAGTGCCGGGGCAAGTGTGTTTCGTGTCGTAGTGAAACGTGCCTCGCGCAAGTGTGGAAACCGTCTAAATGCAATATTCGACCTGGCAAAGCGCTGGCAAGGGGCTAAAGCTGCACGGAACGGTTTCGGCCGGCCCTGGTGGAATGTGCTTCGCACAGGTTTTGAAACCTTCTAACTCTTGCTCTCCTGCTCTCTCTCCTTCTTGCTCTCTCTCCTTCTTGCTCTCTTCCCTGGCTCTCCTTCTTTCTCTCCTTCTTGCTCTCCACCTGGCTCTCCTTCTTCCTCTCCTTGCCCGCCTCCTTGCTTTCCTCCTTGCTCTCCTTCTTGCTCTCCTTCTTGCCTCCCTGCTGGCCCTCCTTCTTGCTTTCCTCCTTGCTCTCCTCCTTGGTCTCCTTCTTGCTCTCCTCCTTGCTCTCCTTCTTGCTCTCCTTTTCGCTCTCCTCCTTGCCTTCCTTCTTGCTCTCCTTCTTGCTCTCTTCCTGGCTCTCCTTCTTTCTCTCCTCCTGGCTCTCCTTCTTTCTCTCATTGCCCTCCTCCTTGCTTTCTTCCTTGCTCTCCTTCTTCCACTCCTTCTTGCTCTCCTTCTTTCTCTCCTTCTTGCTCTTCTCCTTGCCCTTCTTCTTGCACTCCTCCTGGCTCTCCTCCTTGCCTTCCTTCTTCTTCATCTCCTCTTTCCTCTCCTCCTGGCCCTTCTTCCTCCTCCTTGCTCTCATCCTTGCTCTCCTCCTTGCTCTCCTGCTCGCTCTCGTCCTTGCTCTCCTCCTGGCTCTCCTTCTTGCTTTCCTCCTTGCTCTCCTTCTTGCTCTCCTTCTTGCCTCCCTGCTGGCCCTTCTTGCTTTCCTCCTTGCTCTCCTCCTTCTCTCCTCCTTGCCTTTCTTCTTGCTCTCTTTCTTCGCGTCCTTGCTTTCCTCCTTGCTCTCCTTTTTGCATTCCTCCTTGCCCTTCTTCTTACTCTCCTCCTTGCTCTCCTCCTTGCTCTCGCCCTTGCTCTCGCCCTTGCCCTTCTTCTTGCTCTCCTTCTTGCTCTTCTCCTTGCTCTCCTTCTTGCTATCCTCCTTGCTCTCCTTCCTTGTTGCTTTCCTCCTTGCTCTCCTTCTTGCTCTCCTTCTTGCTCTTCTTCTTGCCCTGATCCTTGCCTCTCCTCCTTGCTTTCCTCCTTGCCCTTCTTCATTTCCTCCTTGCTCGCCTCCTTCCTCTCCTCGGTGCCTTCCTCCTTGCTCTGCTTCTTGCTCTCCTCCTTTCTCTCCTCGGTGCCTTCCTCCTGCTCTCCTTCTTGCTCTCCTTCTTGCTTTCCTCCTTGCTTCCCTTCTTGCTTCTTGCTCTCCTCCTTCCTCTCCTTTCTTGCTCTCCTCCTTGCTCTCCTTCTCGTCTTCGTCCTTGCTCTCCTTCTGCTCTCATTCCTGCCTTCAATCTTGCTCTCCTTCTTGCTCTCGTTCTTGTCTTCCTCCTTACTCTCCTTCTTGCTCTCCTTCTTTCCTTGCTTCTGCTCTCCTTTGCTCTTTTCTTGCCTTCCTCCTTGCTCTCCTTCCTTCTTGCTCTTCTTCGTGGTCTTCTGCTTCTTGCTCTCCTTCTTGCTTTCCTGCTTGCTCTCCTTCTTGCTCTCTCCTTCTTGCCTTCCTCCTGGCTCCTCTTGTTGCTCCTTCTTGTTTTCCTCCTTGCTCTCCTCTTCTTGCTCTCGTTCTTGCTCCTTTCTTGCCTCTTTTCTTGCTATCCTCCTTGCTCTCCTCTTGCTCTCCTTCTTGCTCTCCTTCTTCCTCTCCTTCTTGTCTTCCTCCTTGCTCTCCTCTTGCCCTCCTCCTTGCCCTTCTGCACGCTCTCCTCCTTGCTCTCCATCTTGCTCTCCTTCTTGCTCTCCTTCTTGCTTCTTCTTCCTCTCTTCGGTGCCTTCCTCCTTGCTTTGCTTCTTGCTCTCCTTGCTCTCTTTCTTGCTTGCCGTCTTTCTCTCCTTCTTGCTCTTCTCCTTGCCCTTCTTCTTACTACCCTCCTTGCTCTCTCTCCTCTCCTCCTACGTCTCCTCCTGGCCCTTCTTCCTCGTACTTGCTCTCCTTCTTTCTCTTTTCGGTGCCTTTCTCCTTGCTTCTTGCTCTCCTCCTGGCTCTCCTTCTTTCTCTCCTCCTTTTCTTCTTCTTGCTCTCCTTCTTTCTCTCTTCCCTAGCTCTTCTTCTTTCTCTCCTTGTTACTCTCCTGCTAGCTCTCCTTCTTTCTCTCCTGGCCCTCCTCCTTGTTTTCCTTCTTTCTCTCCTTCTTGCTTTCCTTCTTGTCTCCCTCCTGGCCCTTCTTCTAGCTCTCCTCCTTGCTCTCATCCTTCGTCTCCTTCTTGCCCCTCCTTGCTTCCTTCTTGCTCCCCTCCTGCCTTCCTTCTTGCTCTCTTACAGGCTCTCCTTCTTTCTCTCCCTCTTGCTCTCCTCCTGGCTCTCCTTCTTTCTCTCATTGCCCTCTCCTTGCTTTCGTCCTTGCTCTCCTTCTTGCTCTCCTTCTTACTCTCTTGTTCTTCTTCCTCTCCTTCTTCTTTCTCTTATTCTTGTGCTCCTTCTTGCTTCTTGTTGCTCTCCTTCTGGCTCTCCTTGCTTCTTGCCTCCTTTCCCCTGTTTACTCTCGCTTTGCTGTCCTCCTTGCTCTTCTCCTTCCTCTCCTTGCTCTCCTTCCGTGCTCTTTCTGCTCTTTCCTTCCTCTGCTCCTTGCTCTTCCGCCTTGCCTTCCTTCTTGCTGCTCTTCTCCTTGTTCTCCTCCTTGCACTGCTGCTTGCTCCTCCTTGCTCTTCTCTTTGCCAACCTCTTTGCTCCTTCTTGCTCTGCTCCTTGTACTTCTCCTTTGCACTGCTGCTTACACTCTTCCTTGCACTCCGCCTTGCACTCCTCCTTGGACAGGGTTATCTCCACACGAAGTCCTTTCTAAATTCACCTCCTTCCTCTCCTCCTTGCTTTCCTCTTAATTTGTACTTTGTCTATTCTCTTGCTGCTTCTTTTTGGTCTTCTACGAGGTTCCTCTTCTTCGCTCACCTTATCCCTTCCTGCTTTCGCTTCCTTTTTCTCAACTCGGTCTACTTGGCGTGCTCGTTGCCTTTTCTTTAATCTCCCTACTTCTTCACTTTTCCTGGCTCCCCTTCTTTCCTACCTGCTCTTCTTACCCTTTTGGTCTTCCTTCTTCTCCCCTTCGCTGTTTGCATTTTCCATCCTTTGTCTGGTTTCTGTTCTGCATTCTTCTTCTTGCCCCAAGTCCGCGGCACTCATGGCTGTTGCTGGCTGACATGAGGGACTTGGGGAACTGAAATCCAGCATGCTTCTTCTGCTGCTTTCTTCCTGTCCACTTCTTCCTCCCCCTTTGCTTTTTTCTCTTCCACTCTTGCCCCGAGTCCGCAGCACTCACGACAGATGCTGGCTGTCATGAGGGGCTCGGGGAAATAAACTCCAGCAAGTACCCTTTTCCCTGCTCGCGCTACGCTCACTGCTTTCCTTGCTTTTCCTACTTACTCTCCCTACTGTCCCTGCTTTCCTTACTTTGCCTGCTTTCCCTACCTCCTACTTTGCCCAAACCCTCCTGCACTTCCTGCTTTCCTGTTCTTCTAGAAGGTTCTTTTTCTTCCTCCCCTCTCTTTGTCCTCGTTTCCACCCCACCTCCAGATACGATCCTTTCTCCTTCTCCCCCCTTAAAATCATGACAGCAAATCCATTTTTTGGGTTCGCGCAACGACGCCGGGAGAGAGAAGAAGAGTTTGGATATGACAACCCTGAAGAGGCAACGGCCACCATTTCAAATAACAATAGTAATAACCATCATAATTACATTCATACATACGTACGTACATTCATACATTTGTCAATTCATACATTCATACATGCATAGATAGGATGGATGGATGATGATGATTATTCCATTGCATATTTACGTAAAAGCTACAATTCCATTAACCGTGCCTAGGAATGATCATCCTACAGTATGGTCCTCCACTGTGGATTGAGATGTACATTTAACTTTTGACACCCAGCAAGGATGACTTGGACTTCGGGACATCAACTGAGGCATCCAATGATGTGGCTTCCATGAAACTGACTTGGCTTGCCACAGGACTATATATACCCTCCGGTAATCAAACATGACGATGGAAAATCATGAAACATCCTAGGTTTCAATTATGGAGGAACTACAATGTGAAGGGGTTACAAGATGATTTTCCTATATGGTCCCAAGCTTCCCACGTTTATACATTTATAGATGGTTTCCCCTATAATCTCATTAGAGACTGGCAATTCCACTGACACATTTACAAAGAAGCACGAATCTTTCGCGTGTCACGAGACCCTTCTCTTTCCGATCGATGATCTTGCTGCTTTCACAACACCGGCCGGAGCTCCTCAGTTGCTGTTGGTGCGCATTTTGCATTCGTTGACACTCGGTCAGCGGATATACCTATCTGTCTAATCTATATAATCTAATCTATAATATCGAATAACCATCATTTTGACCCCTAATAATGATGTCAAAATATGCCACTAGCCAACGTAAACATTTGGTAGGAATAATCACCGTTTCAACTGATTACAATGTAATGGGAATACCCCTATAATGTAACCATTCCCTAAAGTAACCACCATTGAAAGGAATAATAATGTATATAATATTGTGGATGTAAAAAAACCTGCACCAGTTGGCAACCGCTAAGTAACTATGAAACATTGAAAATAATGGGGTTATAAGGGGATAAACCATAAACCAACTGGTGCAGGATTTCTTCCATCCATAGTAACCCCCATGTGACCTGAAAATGATGCACCATAATAAGTTCACACTGGCCAACAGAACACTACCGAAACAGTAGCACCCGTTTACTTTCATAGCACCGTTATTGATGCCCCCCTATTCCCCCTACTTTGTTGGTTTGTCGTCTGGTGGTTTCTGTTCCTGTCCCGATGCTGGTCCTTGTCCTTAGCTGCTGTTCTGCTCAAGGCGTCCTTTGAAGGTATAGGTTTTAGGTATGGGAAAGGCACAGGCGAAACGGCCGGCTGCAAAAGGGCGGGCTATTTTGACCTGGCAAGGGGCTGGCAACGGGCTGCAGAGGGGTGCTTCGTGCTGCGCGGGATGGTTTCGTGACAGACGTGGACAGGAGAAAGGGGATGAGGCGACAGACATAGCCAGGAAGATGGCCCTGGCTGATGCTGCACACCTGCGGTGATCCCAGGCGCCGCCCCGCCTACGCCGAGGCTAGGCAGGGGGCGGCGGACATATATATATATATATGAATGTATATATATATGTATATATATATATACATAGATATATATATATAGAGAGAGATATATATATAGATTTACATATATATATATTTATAGATAGATAGATAGATATATATATATATAACCGAGGAAACCCCGAAGTTCACGAAGCACACATGACGTGAGCAAGTTCACAGGGACGTTAACATCTCCCCACCCCACCCAAACCCCGAAGTTCACGATGCATACATGACGTGAACAAGTTCACAGGGACGTTAACATCCCCCCCACCCCAAACCCCCAAAAAAAAGGAAAGTGGGTTTCGTGACCAGTTACCTGGGGGTGGCGCTGGGTTCTAGGCTGACTGGAGGGATTGCATTATGACTCTGACTACGATGCATTTTGTGCAATTTTACATTATACAGTAATGCAGCAGAGGTCAGGCCACCATCCACAGAACTTGCCTTTATTAAGATGGTACCTGGAAACTTGCATTTTTCTGTTTTTCAAAACGATTACCAAGAACAAGTGAGTAGTATTTCAAAACACCTGGTGGTTGATTATTACAGGGGGCTATACTATCAAATATATTGGAGATTATCACAATCCATTATGGGAAATCCTATTAATCAACCAGTATAAAGGGACGACATAGGGTTTTGACGACTACCCAAGAGAGCCCCAACAACACCTGCATCAATTAAGTGATAACCAGCAACAAGTATCTAGGACCAGCAACAGCTTGCAGCACCAACAGAAGCACCAGTCAGGAACAATCAAAACAACACAACCCTGACAGTGATGCAACAGCAAGAACACCAACAACTGCACGGGGCAAACAAATTGTTGAATGCAGCACTAGCATAGGAAATAACAACCGCACGAGCTGCAAAACTTCATGACCGAAGCAAACCAACAAATCTATATAAATCTCAAAACGATGATGACCATGATGACCGTAGACACCAGCAGCAACTGCAAAGACACTGCAAGAGCGGAGTGAGAAAAACAATATCCAATACGGCATTGAATGCTTGCCAAAAACAATACTTTCTGCTTTCTCCATCTATCCTCAGAATAACTTGGTGACTTTATGTAACATGCCTACGAAGGGCAATGAACGCTTGAAAACCCGCAAGGTTCCACAGAATCCTGAGTGGCTTGCAGAAGAGTGGCGTGAACGAGCAGCGTGCTTTGCGGTTTTAGACACCCTTCAGCGATATGCAAAGTCGACCAAAGGTTGGTCAATCCTGCCAAAGTCCACAAAGGACAGTGGTTAGACTGAAGATGTAGGGAGCAAGCGGGAGTATAGGTGAAGGCAACGCCGAGCCTTTGGTTTCCATAGAGAACCTTTGGGTTTGAGTTGTGCGCTGTAGTTGTGCGCGTCCGCTGTGTCTCCAGGACTACATCACGAAGTCCAAAAAGAGTGGTTACCGAGCTCTTCACATAACTCTGTGCACCAACGTCAGACGCTCTGGTCTTTGGCCATGATGGCCACAACATTTCTCACTTGCTATGGAATATGGTCTCTTCACATTAAGGTGACGACGCAGATGCCAAAAGCCTCCAGTCGTGCCATGCAGCAAAGAACGCTTGATACGATGACCTGCAAGTTGGAGGCCGCGGGTTTGACTGCTCACTGAAGTATCTGAAGTAGAACTGCCCATCATTGGCATTTTCTAGGTGGCTTCACCGTCCATCGTATTCAGGTGCATGTGTTCTCTGGCTCCATGAAGCAAAAGGAGCGGAAAGGCCTGGCCTCCCACCATTTGTACAAGGTGGGGTCCCGGGCAATCAGTGCTGTGTAAATGGGATTTCCTGCCTGGCATCGCTGTGCAATAGGCGTTGGAACTGACTCCGGATGAAGTCTTTGGGTGTTTGGGACGAGCGGCTGGGCGCCTCAGAGTTCGAGGGCTTAACTCAAGATAAGTTGTCGAAATCAAGTTTTGGCATCTTATCCTGGGCATAAAATATGTTAATCTAATGTTATCGAGGTCCATCGAACTAAATATCCCTTGGTTCTTATGATTAAGAACTATGGCGATGTTTCGAGGAGTGCGCAATTAACCCTGGCATTTTATGCTTTTCTATTTTTGGATTGCTGCCATTCGTGTACGGAGCCTAGGCAGACTCGATAGCTCCTTCTGAGTTGCGGCGTATTGTTTGTCCTCTTGAGAGCCTCGACCTTTTCGGAGAGGCACCAGGGCACCTTTGGTAGACTTGGATGATTTTTCTGCACCTGGAGCCTACTGTGATTTCTCTGAAGCTCCTGCTATGCGAAGGCTTTCAGCATTGACTACACCAATTTGGAGTTTGAGAAATTGTGCTCCAGCTGTGGCCGGAATCAGGACTTGATAATTAGAGTATGTTAGCTACCGGGGTGCACCGAGAGTCAGCCCAAAGATTAAAAAGACTCCTGATTGTCAGACACTTGCAGGACGGAAGACTTACATTGGCTGATGTTCAGCAAGCTCAACATCAAGTGTCAAAGCGTGTGGAGGATCTCATCGGGACGTCGGTTGGATAGTGGCACTTTCTTGTGTAACTCTACACTTACTTTTTTTGTTTGTGCATCCCTTGTTGATTATTTGCCTTCTCGTCAATCCATGCATCCATATGTCTGTCTCTCCATCTGTCAGCTTCTGTCTGTCGATCTGTTTGCCAATCTGTCCGTCCGTCCATCTGCATGTTGTCTTTCTTGCCCTACTCAATCCTATCTTCTTGTGTCCCACCTGCCCTGCCCGTCCTATCCATGGACATAACCATCCATGCATGACCATCCATGAATCCAGCCATGAACCCAGCAGTTCATCACCCGACATGGTACGTACTGCAGCCTGCAGCAGCTCTGTAACCTGGGCTTCCACAGGATGCTTTTGATTGATTGACTTCTCACCTGCGAGGACTTTCGAAGAGCCCTTGGACAACGCAATGCCAAATGGTGGGTTTAGAGCTCAGAGAGAGATGATTTACGTCTCAACTTGTCGACCTCAGCTGGCTTTGGCTTACGTCTCTCCCTCTTGTCCTGGTTGTGGGTTGCGTGACATGGTCTCAAGATGCAGAATTGCTATCGTGCTGCAATCGGAGATACTGTCTCCGCAATAACCCAATGGATACAACTGTATGAACAATACGAACTAGATATGATAATGATATACTACTCGTATATGTGTATAATTGTATATATATACATATATATATATGGGAAGCCATATATAGTATATTCTGGTCTACTTGGCAACGACAACCCCGCCCATGTCACGAAACGTAGCATCTGTGGATTGCGAGGGAAATCTTCACTTGTGGGGTGGGACATATGTAGAGAGTGGTGAGAATGTTTGAGGGAGGTTTGTTTGATGGCAGTGGCCCAAAATGACCTTTCTTGCTGACTTTGGATGTCCACATAGAGTGCCCCAAAATCCCATCGCCTATGTATACTTGTTCTTTTTTCCCCACTTTTTTTTTGTATATCCCATCCCTTTGCATGGTGCAGGGAACAGACAGACCACTGTCATAACTTGCTAGAGACAGCTGCTTGATGGGCTCCAACAAAGTTGTTCATCATTCATCTATGCCTCCAATCAGAGTCACCTAGTTACAGCATTTTATATGTCTACTGACCCGTCAAATTGTACTTTTGCATAGTATTTACACTCACATTTGATATGTTTCAGGAAAATTATACTGCTGATTTCATCTTGAAGCCTTTTTTTACAATCGATCGAACCATACATATAATATATATATATGTATATATATATATATATATGTAGATATATATCCATGTATGTTTCCTATCGATTTTGATGTTGAGATGAAATTTCAAAAGCCCGACATGGCATCTGTTCACATTTCTATTCCCTCTCCCCCAGCACCCGGACTTTCTGGTCAGGTCATTTTTTGGGTCATCATTCATTGAATCATTCATCCCATTTTCCATTGAGATACATTGAGATGCGGAGATTCCACGGATATTTCGATGCTCCAAAGTCGCCGCAAAACTGACGTATTATACAGTACAGTACAGCCATATAGTTTATCCGGTGCAGAAGCGCACGTACCTATTCGGTGGCCTACAATTCATCTCAACGTTGACGGATTGTCATGCTGTTGTTTTTTCCCGAATGTGTAGCAAGGGTTCCCGTTTCACTCTGGGGGTCTGGGGGTTGAGGGTGTGTTCGCTCGACGTTGCGTTCACGGTCGCAACCGTCCGCAACCGTTCGTACGAACTCCGTATGGCCGTGCCTATGGGAAGTTTTGCAGAGGTGGTCCTTTTTGGAGGTTTCAGACGTCTGGTTGCTTCGTTTCGCGTGGCAGGCGTGGCACTTCGTGGCATTCAGACGTGTTCTGCAACGTGTCGAAAGTCGTTTTGCGTGGCAGGCGCAATACTTTTGTGCCGTTTTCAGAAGATGTGTTGCAGTTTTCGTGGCAGGCGCAGCACTTTGGACGTGTCCATCGTCATTTTTCGTGGCAGGCGCAGCACTTTAGACGTGTCATGTTGCGTGTTGTTTGCAAATCGCATTGGCAGGGCTGCGTCAAGTGGCGACAAGGTGCAAATTCCGTGGCAGGCGTGGCATTTTGTGACATGTACTGAAAATTGACGGAAGCCTCGCACGAAACATCGATTTTGAGGTTGCAAATTTTCCGGTTCTAAGGAAAACTCGTAGGAAAACGTCGATTTTGAAGCTGCAAAGTGTCAAAATTGGAGGAAGTCTCGTACGAAATGCTCGTTTAGGTGCTCCCAAGTGTCTCGTCTCGAGTCTCTGGTTTTCCCGTGGTTTCGCCGTGTCTATGGGGGAAGCTGCAAAACCTGTCCTTTCGTCATGTTGCCAACTGTGAAAATTGCCGGAAGTCTCGTACGAAATGATCGTTTTGGTGCTCCCACGTGTCTCGTCTCGAGTCTCTGGTTTTCCCGTGGCTTCGCCGTGTCTATGGGGGAAGCCGCAAAACCTCTCCTTTTCAAAGGTTTCCAAGGAAGTTGTCATGTCGTTTTGCATGGCAGGCGTGGCACTTTGTGACATTCCAACCTGTTTGATAATGTGTCAAAAATGTCAAAATTGGAGGAAGTCTCGTACGAAATGCTGGTTTTTCTGCATCCACGTGTCTTGTCTCGAGTCGCTGGTTTTCCTGTCGCGTCGCCGTGTCTATGGGGGAAGCTGGAAAACATGTCCTTTTCGAATGTTTCCAAGCAGGTTGTCATGTCGTTTTGCGTGGCAGGCGTGGCACTTTGTGACATTCCAACCTGTTTGATAACGTGTGGAAAATATCAAAATTGGAGGAAGTCTCGCACGAAATGCTCGTTTTTTTGCACCCACGTGTCTCGTCTCGAGTCTCTGGTTTTCCTGTGGCGTCGCCGTGTCTATGGGGGAAGCTCCGCACTCCACACTCTACACTTTACACTCCACACTCCACAATTTACACTTTAGACCCCACACTCTGCACTTTACACTCCACCCTTTACACTTTGCACTTTAGACTCCTCACTCCTCACCTGAGACTTTACACTCCACACTCCACACCTTACACTACACTCTACACTTTCCACTCCTCACTCCTCACTCTACACTTTACACTCCACACTCCACACTCTACACTTTACACTCCACACTCCACACTTTACACTACAATCCTTACTTTACACTCCACACTTCACGCTCCACACTTTCCACTCCACACTCCACACTTTACACTCCTCACTCCTCACCTGAGACTTCACACTCCACACTCCACACTTTACATCACGCTCTAGACTTTACACTCCTCACTCCTCACTCTACACTTTACACTCCACACTCCACACTCCACACTCTACACTTTACGCTCCACACTCCACACTTTACACTTCACACTTTACACTCCACACTCCACACTTTACACTCCTCACTCCACACTTTACACTCCTCACTCCACACTTTACACTCCTCACTCCACACTTTACACTCCTCGCTCCACACTCCACACTTTACACTCCTCACTCCACACTTTACACTCCTCGCTCCACACTCCACACTTTACACTCCTCACTCCACACTTTACACTCCTCGCTCCACACTCCACACTTCACACTCCACACTTTCCACTGCACACTCCACACTCCACACTTTACACTCCACACTCCACACTTTACACTCCTCACTCCACACTTTACACTCCACACTTTACACTCCACACTCCACACTTTACACGCCACACTTTACACTCCACACTCTACGCTTTACACTCTACACTATACACTCTACACTCCACACTTTACACTTTACACTCCACGCTTTCCACTTTACACTCCCCACTCCACACTTTACACTCCACACTTTACACTCCACACTCCCCACTCCACACTTTACACTCCACACTCCTTACTTCACACTCCACACTCCACACTCTACACTTTCCACCCCACACTGCAGACTGGTAACAAGGGAAACATGTACAAGACTGTTCAAATATAAACTATTGCAGAAAGGTATTGTGCGTGACTCTATAACCATGTGTTTTGACATCTGTACCATTAACATAAGTGTGAGCATTCGGGTTCGTGGGTTTCATCTTGTTGTCTTTTGATGATCGCTCGCCCATTAGTTGGCTTGATCCAAAGGGGCTCCAGGGATGGTTTCTATAGAGGGTGGACGGGGCATGACGTAAACATAAACTATGTCTAGGCGTAAGTAAAAACATATGTGAAACATAAACGAAACATATGTGAAACGTATATGAAACATATGTCAAACATAAGACAAAACATATGTGGAACGCAAACGAAACATAAATGGAATATAATTGAAACATAAGTGACACATAAAGCAAAACATGTGTGTGAAATTTGCAACATATGTGAAACATGAGTTGGCCGTCCCCCCTGTGTCAAGCAGTTGCCAATTTGAAATCCAAACCTGGTACAAACCTGCAGCCAATGTGAAACTGATGTCTCCCACATGTTTCACATATGTCTGACATACGTTTTGTTTGCGCAGCACTTGCGTCAGGCAAAAGTCTAAGATCTTATTCTGGGAAAATAAGATCTTAGGATTTTGACATACATAAAAAAACACAAGCGAAACACAAACAAAACATAAACAAAACACAAATGTAGCATAAACTTGTTTATGTTTTTGTTGCGTTCTGTTTATGTTTTGGTTTCTGTTTTGTTTGTGTTTTTTGTGTCAATTATTTGCGTAAGGCCTTATTTTTTTTTTATGTTTTTTGTGTTTTTTTGTGCAAACAAGCATAAAAAACAACAAAAAAACATAAAAATAAGGCCATACGCAAATAATTGACACAAAAAACACAAACAAAACATAAACCAAAACATAAACAAAACACAACAAAAACATAAACAAGTTTATGCTACATTTGCGTTTTGTTTATGTTTTGTTTGTGTTTCGCTTGTGTTTTTTTATGTATGTCAAAATCCTAAGATCTTATTTTCCCAGAATAAGATCTTAGACTTTTGCCTGACGCAAGTGCTGCGCAAACAAAGCGTATGTCAAACACAAGTGAAACACAGAGCAAACATTGTGTCACATAACTCCGCTCACGTCCAGAGAAGATGGAAACACGTGCGCGACAGTTGGGACACATGACTGCCAGAATGGTTTGTGGATTCATTTGTGTTTTGTTGATGAGTCGTTTTATGTTTTATTGTGGATTCACTTGCGTTCTGTTTATGATGAGTTTCCGATGTGTTTATGATTCACTTGTGTTTGCTTTTATGTTGCGTTTACGTTGTTTTATGTTGGTTCTTTACGTCTTTGGTTTATGTAAGGCTCTTAGCCTCAGATCTGGTTCCTATAGACGAAGCCCTTTGGGTTTACCTAACCCATTAGACAACCCAATCTGCTAAGTCTTCAACTCGTTCGTACAAAGTGCCTTCACATGTGATAGCAGTTTCACTAAAACTTGCACACCAGTCTCATTCTGTTGTATAGTGTGGAGTCAAGTATATCTCATCATTTGTCAGTAATGTCTTGGGAACGCCTTTTGTCCCCTCAACGAACTCATCAACCTTTTCTTTGATCCAGCGTGACTGTCAGAAACTTGGCAGATGCACTTCTCCGCTTTTATATACATGCTCACCATGGCTGCGTTATAGTAATTGCTGTGGACGTGTACCACAAGCAGGTCTCATGATCACGACTTTCAATGCTGGCCTTGGGCTGGGCACATCCTCTTGTCTTGCACATCGTGCTGTCATGGACCAGTCGTGCTATGATGCCTGTTTTGGCGGTGTCGGGTTCATGTTCTAAGGATGATGTCTTGTTTTCTGGTGATTACTCTGTTTTTTTTGTTGTATATATATATATATATATATCACAATATACTTATCCTGGATTCTTTGCTCGCGTGTCACAGTTTCGCTTTCTTGCCTGGCAAGCAGTGAATTAGGCAGTTTGATGCAAGGGTGGTGCGGAAGAATGTCTCGAGCCTGCCGACTCAGGTGCATGGTGTTCAGACCGTTGGTCTGTGGCAGCGAGCTGCTTCTTGGGACTGGGCAAAGTGCGCCACATGGGCCTTGAATCCCTGTTGAGTCTTGAAATATCTTGAAATCTCGTTTCAAAATGGTTTTGTGATATGCAGAAAAAGTGTTAAAGTCATGGCTGGTGTGTTTGATAGTGAGGAAATCACGTGCGGTCGCACATGCCTGACTCTGCTTTTGGTTTGCAAAATGGAGCATCTTCGAGCGCCGCCCAAGCAGGTACGCAGCAGAGTTAAATCCGCAGGAAAAGGCATTGGAATTTCACCTGGTTCTGCCTGGTTTCTGCCTGATGCGTCCTGATGGATTTGATGTCGATATGGATCCAGTTGGTTCTTTTCCTCAGATGCTTCAGACGCGGATGCAACAGGTCGCAATGATTCGCAAGGCCTTGGATATGACCAAAAAGGCTCATGCAGGGCAGGCACGCTCGGAAGTTCAAGGAGCTGAATGAATTGAACTTTTACACTATGCTTTGATTGCCTTTGCTACACTAAAAAAATGCTATCACATGGTTTGATGCCTTTCGGCCTTTGAACGCATAGTTTTGTTCTTCATTTGCCTTTCACTTGTCTTTTCTTGTTGCACGCCGAGATCCTGAGCAGGTGCGCAAATCCGGCGACCCCTACTGGACGCATCCGCTTTCTGTAGCGGACATTCTTGACAGCTTCTCAGACCGATCAGATCTTGGCCATGTTTTTGAAGTGTTTGCAAACCGAAGTGCTTGACATGGGGTATTTGGCTGATGGCTCTCATGCGCAACAAGCTTTCTTGAGTGTTGAGTGGGCTGAGTGGGCTTGTGATGCGACAACTTCCAAGTTCTCTATAGTCTATAGTAGTCACAGACTGAGAAGAGCAACCTGGATGGAGTTCTATTTTAGCTAGTGGATGGTGAATTTGTGATGAGCTGGCTGAATTGATTTGCAGTGAGGCAAGAACGCTGCTGCCGCCTTCAAAGAAGCCGACTTGGGAACCACAACACGTTGGTGCAGAAGCTGACGCATTGGAGCAGGTGGCTGAGAGTTGAGAGATGTTGAGAGATGTTGAGAGGGTTTAATCCCTTTCCCTGGTGTTACCAAATACACCCTACAACCCTGGTTTAGTACATGCCTTATCATATCCATGTTGGCGACCCATATGGAGGGTATTCAATATACATTGCCAATAAGACGCTTGCAAAGACTAATATCATGTATCTAGAAGTAAACCTGTATATGATGGATGTTCACATCTACATCTACATGCGCATATGCAAATCTGAATCTGTATATGAGACATGTTCATATCTACATCCATATCTACATCTATACCTGATTCATATGTATCTATGACTATGTATGATTATAATATATATATATGGCATATGTATTTGTATTAATGTAATGTAATGTAATGTCATGTCATGTCATCTCATTTTATGTTGTGTATTTATATATGATATCTACATCACACATATATACATAATATAAATATACATATTACACAATTCAATTATGGACCTCTGTCTGTCTATCTTCCGTCTGTCCGTCGATCTGTACAAGTCTGCGGACGCTCTCTCTCTCTCTCTCAACCTCAGTCCATTGGCTTTTTTGCACGGAACAGGAGGCCCAGCAGCTGTGGCCACACATTGCAGAAGGGCCTGATGACATCTTTGCAATGTGCCGCAGCAGACTAAGATTTCTGGAAAGAAAACTATGCAATTGAACAGACTGAAAGAAGTTCACGCGGGCTTTCCTTGTGTGTACACACTGGGTGCATCTAAGTGCATCCTCTAGTCACTGCTTGTCATGGTAGAACATTTCACTGTATTGGAATCTTTGGCACAGTCAGTAGACTCAACAAAGTGATGGAATGAGATTGTCACGAGAAAGATGTGCTAGGTCAATAAACACGTTCGATCAATAGCCCACAATCTCAGACCGTCCACATTGTCTAGTGAGAATCAGAGTGCTTTCCTTGCATGTGCAGTCAAACATTTGAACTCGGCCAGTAGCTTTTTTGAGCGGCCAGTTGAAATTGGCCATTTCATGGCCGTCTGGATCAGCTCAATTTTTTCTTGAAGTGATTCAGCGAAGAAACTGTTTTCTCACACATGCGACAACACCAATACCTTCAGCTGCTCGTTCCTGCAGACCTGCTGTGTAAGAGATTGCACAGGGCACTAACGTTTTGGCGTTACTTTGCTTGGACTCCAGCCTTCTTTGTTGACTCTGCAAAAGCTTTCGTTACTTGCATGGTTTCAGTCGAAGCAGGTCTCAGACAGCAGGAATTAAGATTCAAAATGGTTTTGCGCTCGGCAGCGGACCAGGTACACAGCTGCGCTGCTGCATGACACTGTCGAGGACTGAAGTGAAGACATGAGCACATTCGACATGCGACGTTTGCAATACATAGTGCACAGGACACCAGCATGACGGTGGAAGAAATCGAGGTGCACCTCCCTTTTTGCGGCACAGCTACCCCTGTGAGTTGTGCTCTCTTGTGAGTTGTGAGGCGGCCTTTGGCCCGGTTGTAGCATCGTTGGTTGATGGCGTCACCAAGGACTGAATTTGCGAATTTTTGCGAGCTGTTTTACGGCAAATAAGGGCGAGTCACGAGACTCCTTGCATGGGTATCGTCGCTTCTATTCCGGGTTTTTAAGATACACACCTAGACTCACAAGAGCAACGTTTTGCAAAAACAGTCATTTGGTCATTTGGATGTACTGTAATACTCATTTTTGACTGGGAAGATATGCTGGCTACATCTGGCTCCATGTTTCATTTTTGATCGGAGGCCTCTCAAGCCTCATGCGGGGGATCACGCGCATCAAGATCAGCCCAGGATTTGCGCAAGGCGGGGGGTAAGGAGCCAATAGATCCAATAGTAAAAGAAGAAAGAGGAAGAGTAATGAACAGGAGAGGACGGGAAAGAGGGTCGTGTATCAAAACATAAAACCAAGTCCCACGACAAGCCAAAGCATTCTAGATTCTAGACAGAAGCACGTGATAGCCAGCAACCCGGAAGACAGATCTATCAGACATATTGGGAGCAAGCGGCTGGAAATACGTATGCACTATATAATATCTGCAACATACATATCAATTAAATCTCAAAAGAATTCAAAAGATAAGCTTTTTTTTTGTATCAAAATCTCCTTGTATGCAATCCATTGCATAACCGTAACCGAAAGTACATCGATATACCTATAACCTATACGTGCATATATGCATATGGTGCAATGCAGCGCAGCTTTTGCAGCTCGTCACTTGTGCCTGATGCATCTTGCTTCCTTGTGTGCAAGGTCCTTACAAGGGCAGCGCAAGATGTTCGCGTCCTGGTCATCAAATTTGCCGACCGCATGCACAACATGCGAACACTGGAGAAACTTCAGTCATTTCAGTCGGTGGTTTGCAGATCTGTTGCCTTCGATTGTTCTGATTCTCACCACAGAGTTTGCCTGTCAGTTTTGACCATGGCACAGTAGTGCTGTAGTCACAAACCTCCCACCTTTTAAGATGGGCAAAGTCCTCCAGAAGGTTCTGCGAATTATGAGAGCAAGCTTGAAAACTCAAGTTGTACCATCTGCTGAGCTTGGCCACACGACTATTGTGACAGAAGACGTATGTTGTGGACCGAAAACGCATGCTTGTCTATCGAGCCAAGAAAACATCAAAACAAAATCTGATCAGTTCACCGCTGTTGCTGCGCCATTCAATTTCGCAGGAGCACATGCCGTGCTCAAAACAGCGAAGGATTGCCTGGGACTGAGTTAGGGCAATGAAGTGAGAAAAACATTAAGAAACGACTTGGGGCCAGAGGAGAGCATTTTGAATTCGGAGTTTGATGAAGTCAACCCACGACCTCTACAGAGGCGGAAGAGACTCGAGCTGTGTATGTACCTCTGGCTGAACGCTTTGGAGTTCATATTTGGAAGACGGAGTTCGAGGAGATCTGACTGGAACTGACATTGAAACATATTGACTTATATTATTGAGACTGCATTTAATGAATTTGAACTTCATTGAAACCGTTGTGCATTTGAAGAGCACTGAAGCCTCATTCACTTTGATCGTGACATTCCTCATGCAAAAGACTTACGCTAGATGTGTCTACCAAGCCTTACTTGGTACGAGTGGCTCTACCTTCCATCCTTTGGCCTTGCTGCTTTGAGGAGCTTTGCTGCAAGTATTTGAACGGCTACGCGTACGAGGCACTTTCAGACAACTGGGCCAAGTTTTAGATGATGCCTAACAATAGACTTTGCTGGTATCAATCTTGTCCTGTCGATATGATCTTGTTTGCCAATCTTTGTCTTCCCTCCGGTTAGGCTTTGTAAATTCTACATGTCTCCAAAGATTCAAACCTGAGGCCGTTCTGGACCGAAACCGACGATCGAAGGCAAGGGATGTCCAGAGATCACCTGTGACGACTCCGTGACAAGGTGAAAGTCGTGGAAAGCTGAGACATGCTAAGACATGCTGAGACAGGTTCCCAGATTTCGCAACCTTCGCTACATCGAGCAGTACATCCGCACCATGCTGGTGAAAAGCTGAGATTCTGCAGGTGATCTGTGGGAGAAGTCCGATATCAAAGAACAGCACTGATATTTCTGAGCATCAGGTGGAAATGCGAGCCGATGCGGTTTTCGAGATTTCCTTGAGTGAAGAGCAGACCTGAGTTGGAGAAATCCTGTCAAGTTGCACAAACACCGCCATTCCACACCCGCCTTCTGGCCTCAGGAACCGCCTCACACGCAGTTGCGACGTTGGGCGGATCATCCTGAGACTGACACTCCTCAGCCAATTCCCCGTGTGAGGATTGTCACAAAGGTCCCTTGGCACCCTTGCCATATTCATAATAATCAGCAGTGATGTTTGCATCCTTTGGACTTCAAAAACGGACCAACTTATGCATGTTCTCGAAAAGTAGCTACATTTTGGAATTCTGACAGAAACGAGCAAGGTTTCTTGATACATCTTGATGATATTTTCTTTCGATGTGCTTCCCGGACTGCTTCCATGAGTGTTAGGGTACCAACTGTCCTCGTTCTGGAACAGACATGATGTGCTCCTGCCCTGCCACATGGATTTTGACTTTGTCTGGAACTGTTGTGTACATCGAGGGTTTGCTTTCAGATTTTTTGTTGCTCGTCCGGTTCAGATGAGAGCTCAAAATCTTTCAGCCATCCCAAAGAAGGAAAGGAGACAGTGGACTGTCCACGCACCCCCCTTTTGTCAGGACAGGGACACTTGCTGGGCATGCCTTGGACGGATCCATTCAATCCTACCACCCATGCCAGGGCCTCAAGTGTTAAATGCCAAACCAGCGCAGCTGGGTCACAGTCGTCTGTTGGCCGGTCAACTTGTGTAATCCGGATTCATAAACCCAGGTGCTGTCTGATTGTCGAGGTCCAATTTGGTAATAGATTATCACTATTTGGATTCATTTGGCAAGACCTCCTCCGTAGTCAACCAACCAGAGTCTGTCAGGGGTCGACCCTAGGGGTTGTAGTGTCTAAACTGACCAGTGAGGCCTGGGAGATTGCGGGATTACATCTCTTCACCAAAGGCTCGTGTTTCCTGCGGCAGGTGGAGAATTTCATGATATCATATGATATCATGATATCACTGTATCGCTGTCATTTCAGTCACTTCATTGCCATTGGGCCACCTGATCGGATGGATCGCAGGAGAATCTCTACATGTGCTTGCATACCACAGTCCTCCTCGATGGCACAGCTGTACAGGCTGGACTTTAGCCAAGTCTTTGCACTCGTCTCCAAATGCATACAGCCAAGTGTTTAGATTCTCTGGGGGTATGAATTTGCCATGTGGCACAGGGTCTCAGTGTCCCGTACCCCGATGTTTAACAAAGACTAGCAGAGTGGATTGAAGTTCACATTTCGAGTCGAAGGAGTTCCTGGATTCCTCTTCCATGGGCTAATGTGTTTAAGTATAGGATCTGTAGAGTGTACTAGTTTGATTTGGTTTGAACTTAGAAGTTGACCACATTTGATTCGATCTGGTATCCTCTCATCCTCTCTCTTTTTTGATTCTCTTTCTAGACTCTCTCTCTCTCTCTGTGTCTCGCTTCTCTAGAGCCGATGTCCTCTACGCTTTGAAGGTGTCAGAAAATTCTTTCACATGCACCTCATGGTGAAAAAAACGTCCTTGTATTTTGAGCAGTTGCCACTGTAGAGATCCTAAAATTGCATCGAGTGGACAACCAACAATAAACGCATAGATAATATATATATATATTATAGTTCTGCGTAGATTGTGTATGTATGATTATACAGGTTTCTTTCTTTTGTCCAGTGCATTCAGGTCTACATCTTGAGTGCGGAAATGGATTGGGTGGCAGAGTTCGGGGTGGGAGCCTACTGGCGGCACAATGAGGACGACCACGTTTGGGTATTTTGCGTTGCTTGATGAAACTGCACCAAACTGAACTAAAACGTGGCTAAATGGGTAACTAATTTTGGTCTATGGCACCTTACACTACCGTGGTACAGCATTTTCCATGGCCAGGAACTCCAGCATACAGATACAGGGCGATCCTTGCTCAGCGCTCTGCACTCGACCTGGATCTTGCAGGTTCAAAATGGTTCAGCTTTGCACTGAAATGTGATTGCTGAATCTTTGGCTTTCTTTGCTACCGAGATCAGCTGGACTTGCGCAGGCCAACCAGTCCTTGACGCATAGCCTGCAAACTTTAGAGGCAGGAGGTGATTCTTGCACTTGCAGTAGCAGATCCGGAAGAAATGAGAGATTCGGAGTCAATCTGGACTTCGAATATATTCGAATATGATATTGATGTTTTAAAGTCTACAAGTTTCCCTCTGTGAGTCTATGAGTGTGTCCTTTTGTCTCGGAAAGGTGATGGATCCCTCACCACTTTCGCGCCGTGCGAATCGAACACTTGCCTCCAAGAGCTCCAGAAGCATCTCATCGCCGCCATCGGAGCCATCGAAGCCCAACCAGCTGCCGTTGCTGCCGTTGCTTCCAACCGAGCTGCTGGCTGAGAGTCCAACAGGTCCAACAGGTCCAACACATTCAGCTCAGCGTGATCACAGCTCAACAGACGTTGTGACGATTGGCCACATGGGCGACTCCGACCTTTCCTCTGGTGTCCGGGGGGATTCGGAGAAGGATGAAATCCTGGAATTGATGGATGTGGCGGACTTGGCGGACGTGGCCGACGTGGACCGGGATGGGGATGAAGTGCCCATGACAGTGGATGACGCTTGGGCATTGGATGATTTCTCACCAGATTTGGAGTGGATTCAGCCTGGCCCGACCCCGACCACTGCCGGGACCCCAACCACTTCAACCACTTCAACCACTCCAAGTTCGGATTTGGAACAAAGTGAGTTGATGGTTGGTGGCAAAACAGTGTGAGGCTTAGCGTGAACTTGTGGCACCATGCGTTGCTTTGCCAAGTTTATAAATAGACTATAACTTATTACTTGGCTTAGATTAGTCTAGTGACTCTAGTGTATCCTTACAACTAAAGGGCTTCGGGCTGATTTATAGCTTCGGCTGAGGAGGATGGACTTTTTGCAGTGCAACCGTTGTCTTGCTGGCATGTTTGTCACCGCCGCACGTGTTGCTTTCAGTTGGGCATTCACTAAAGTACACTACAATCCACTGCGATTCACCACTGCAGTTTCATCACTGTTGTTGGGGGCTCAGGTTGCAAATTATTTCGAAGGTGGCATTTAGCTTTGCAGATGGAGGCTGTACTGAATTCCGGACATGAGATCACAGCCTGCACCGCTGTCGAATAGCACACAGAATGCTCTCTGTGAGGTGATGCAGATGATGAGGCTTGAAATCTCCAGATGCAAACTACTTGGCCAATTACTTTCAATATCTTTCAATATCTTTCAATCTGACTTTCTTTGCAGTTTGATTTTCGTTGCTCATCATGATCATCATGACTGGCTATCCAGGGTCGTGGGGAGCTTCTAGCAGAACTGCATAGAGCATACAATGAGGCAAGGGGCAACCAGAGTTGCTTGGGTCTGTGAGATTTGTTACGCCTTAATCCTATGCTAAATTTCCATTTCCGCATGTGCATAGTTGAGTTTGCGGAGGCTTTGCGGGAGAAAGTCGCCGTGTTCACTCCCACAGGTCAGGCACGAGCCAAAGCAAAGTCTTGACCAAATTAGAATAGATTCAGACCTCAAAAGCCATGGCTGACATGGCTGACATAGCTGACATGGCTGAGATGGCTGACATAGCTGACATGGCTGCAATGGCTGACATAGCTGATATGGCTGCAATGGCTGACATAGCTGACACTGACATGGCTGACATAGCTGACACTGACATGGCTGACATAGCTTACATGGCTGCAATGGCTGACATAGCTGACATGGCTGCAATGGCTGACATGGCTGACATAGCTGACATGGCTGACACTGACATGGCTGACATAGCTGACATAGCTGTCATGGCTGACATAGCTGACATAGCTGACACTGACATGGCTGACATGGCTGACATAGCTGACATTTCTGACATGGCTGACATAGCTGACATGGCTGACATAGCTGACACAGCTGTCATGGCTGACATAGCTGACATTTCTGACATGGCTGACATAGCTGACATTTCTGCAATGGCTGACATGGCTGACATGGCTGACATAGCTGACATGGCTGACATAGCTGACACTGACATGGCTGACATGGCTGACATAGCTGACACTGACATGGCTGACATAGCTGACATTTCTGACATGGCTGACATAGCTGACATGGCTGCAATGGCTGACATGGCTGACATGGCTGCAATGGCTGACATGGCTGACATAGCTGACATGGCTGACATAGCTGACACTGACATGGCTGACATAGCTGACATAGCTGTCATGGCTGACATAGCTGACATTTCTGACATGGCTGACATGGCTGACATGGCTGACATGGCTGCAATGGCTGACATAGCTGACATGGCTGCAATGGCTGTCATGGTTGACATAGCTGACATTTCTGACATGGCTGACATAGCTGACATGGCTGCAATGGCTGACAAAGCTGACATGGCTGCAATGGCTGACATGGCTGACACTGACATGGCTGACATGGCTGACATAGCTGACATAGCTGTCATGGCTGACATAGCTGACATAGCTGACACTGACATGGCTGACATAGCTGACATTTCTGACATGGCTGACATAGCTGACATGGCTGACATAGCTGACATAAATGACACAGCTGTCATGGCTGACATAGCTGACATAGCTGACATTTCTGACATGGCTGACATAGCTGACATTTCTGACATGGCTGACATAGCTGACATGGCTGACATTTCTGACATGGCTGACATAGCTGACACTGACATGGCTGACATAGCTGACATGGCTGACATGGCTGACATAGCTGACATAGCTGTCATGGCTGACATAGCTGACATAGCTGACACTGACATGGCTGACATAGCTGACATTTCTGACATGGCTGACATAGCTGACATGGCTGACATAGCTGACATAAATGACACAGCTGTCATGGCTGACATAGCTGACATTTCTGACATGGCTGACATAGCTGACACAGCTGTCATGGCTGACATAGCTGACATTTCTGACATGGCTGACGTAGCTGACATTTCTGACATGGCTGACATAGCTGACATGGCTGACATAGCTGACACTGACATGGCTGACATAGCTGACATAGCTGACATGGCTGACATAGCTGACACTGACATGGCTGACATAGCTGTCATGGCTGACATAGCTGACATTTCTGAGATGGCAGACATAGCTGACATTTCTGACATGGCTGACACTGACATGGCTGACATAGCTGACATAGCTGACACTGACATAGCTGACATAGCTGTCATGGCTGACATAGCTGACATTTCTGACATGGCTGACATAGCTGACATGGCTGTGGTGGTTTTTCAACGTTTTCCACGGGCTTTGTACCCGTTATCGGCCACAAGGACGAGTTTTGTATCTACCTCGTGATGCTACTCCTCTTGACTTTGCTGTTTGGAACTTGGACGCGGAAAAGGCCTGTGGCATCCTGTGACAGCGGGTGAGATGGGCAGCATGGCATCTTATAGCCTATAGTACTACAGCCGTCTCAGTGCATCTCCCTGCAGGGACTTCGAGCAGAGGCAGCTTTCATCGATGGGGTTGAGGCCCCGTTGAACGCGACACTCAGAGAGGCAGGATGGTAGCAGAGACCCGGACTCCCATCTGCCAAAATCAAGATCAAAGTAAATTTGCCAGAATTTGGATAACAGGGCAGACAACAGCTTCAGCCTTGGGAGAAATCCTTGGGAGAAATCCAGAGTAGAGTATGTGAGAGCAGTGAGGTAACTCCATGTGCAATCCTACTGGATTTGATCATATCGTGCATATGATACTACAGCCATCATAGAAATCGCTTTGAAGAAATGGTTCGAATCTGTGTATTTCCAAGTCGCATCAGCAGGAACGTTGAAATTGCAGCAACCTATCCCACCCGTTGAAAAGCGTTGCATACAGAGCACCTATAAGTTCCACCTGCAGAAATCTGGGTGCCCAGTAGATTCAGAATTCTCATGGCCAATCTTGGGAGTGTTCTCAACATGCAGAATGTCCTTATGCAACCCTACTCCAATCCTCACATTTTTTCTGGCTCCTGGCACTTGGAGGGGCAGACAGTGCTCGTACATCTCCACGATGGTGAACAACCTCCTCCACTGGAATGGGCAGGAGTTCATTTGAGGCAGCCTGGATCACCCGAATCGGCCTTTCATGTCGCCCACTTGATGTTTGGCAGCTTTATGCAGTATTTGGCAGTCCTGTTGTTCTCCACTCCTTCTGTTTCATGCTTCAGATCCTAGTATGTTCTAAGATGTTCTAAGTACCTATTGGAGCAGGTACTTGCGCACTACACGGGCAAGGGCAGCCCTCGTGGATGCCAGGCAGGTCCTTTTTTGGCCATTTGCGTTGCACTGTGACGAAATGGGTCTGATGCAGGACGCGGATGCTCCCTCAAGAGGTGGCTGTCGACGAAGGACACCTTTTGGCACTTGGGAGAACTGAAGACTTCTTGCTGACTCCAAACCGCTTCTGTGATAATATTATATATGTGTATATATATATGTATATATATATATATGTATATTACTATAACATATAACATACACATGTGTATAATGATTATAGATACATGGTAATAATATATATATATATGCATATAAATAGACACACATATATATATAATTATATATATATATACATATCAATATAAATAGACACAGATATATAGATATATATATATAAATAGACACATATGTATATATATATCTATTTATAAATAGACATATATATATATATATTTATAAATAGACATAAATATATATATACACATATATATACATACATATATATATACATATGTACACAGGTGTATAAATACATATTGCATATATACATACATCCAATAAATGTCCAGGGTGGGAGGGCCACAGTTGAAGACCTGGCAGTGCTTCCGTCACAAGCAGCTGTGGAGTTTGGAGGCCGCGACGCCATTCGGCGAGAACTCGCGCTTCTCAGCGCTGAACTCAGAACACGGGAGCTGAGCTATACCGAGCCATGCCGCGCGATGCCAAGCAACGCCAAGCACATGGAGCATGTGAGTTGGCCTTGGAGCATATGGAGCACATGGAGCACATGGAGTCAAGTTGGTGAAGAAACAAGTGCATTGTAAGTGAAATGCTGCGAGGCTTGGATCCTTTGCTTCGAAACGAGCTCGGTGATGAAGTGCTGGCCGCACTTGGTGAAAGTCTCAACCACTTTTGAGACATCCATCATGGCTGTTGAGTGATCTCTGAAATGTGTGTAGACAGGTCTGACTGGAGCCATCATTCTTGTTTTATTTGCAAGAATCAACGTCCAGTTTGCAGTAGCCAAATGTCAGCTAGATCAGCAGAAAATAACGCAACATCACCTTGGAATCGTCTATACATTTGTTGGACTGTGAATGAAATAGTGCAGCTGGTACTAAAGTCACTCCTCTCGTTCAATTGGTATAAACCTGAAACTTGTTCATGTTTGATTGTGTCCCTTCGCAACGTCATCAGCCATCTTTGATGAACCCTCTGTCCCATTCGACTGGTACAGCGACGAGGACGTGGAGCCTTGCCAGTCGAGTTGGTTAGCGGCCAACTGCTCGCCGCAAGGCTATATCCAGCTGCCATTCCATGTGCCACAAATTGGGCGCACCTGCTAGTCTCAATGTCATTTAATTAGAGTGTCCCCAGACATTCTGTGTGCTTTTGATAGCTCTAGCATTTTGTTTGCAGATCCCTGTAGAGATTTCAGCACTACAAACGAACTTATCAAGCAAACGCTCCTACCTCAACTGAGGAATGGCTTAACCCTTTGAAGACTGCTATCATGACAGCTTTAGATCAGGTCATTCTAAATTCAAGATTCTGCATGGAAAGTCTTTCAATCTTTGTCTGACATATTAATTCAGGCTTCACATGCCGCTCGGAGACGCCAGCTACGAGTGACCTTCACGAATTTCAACTTTTCTCTTTACTTCTCTATGTGCAAGAGAAAGCAGGTCGGGATGTTCCGCAACAGCAGTACACAGCCGTTCCATGGCGGAAGTTTAGATACTATTCAGTGGCTATAGGAAATTAAGGGTCTATATCAAGGGTTGCTGACTGACATCTGTGTTTAATTGATGACTGGAGGAATGGCTGACTGAATGATTTAATGGATGAATTGGCCACTGAAAGAAAGCGTTAGTGAATGACTAACGGCTCAAGAACATTCCGAGCAACTTCTTCTCAAAGCCATCTCTTCTTTGATTGCCTTAGCCAAGTCTTCCCTGACGCAGCTCTTCTCTGAGCCGCCTCTCTTCCCACGTATATACTTTTGCTTTTGACCAACTCTTCTCTGAGATACTTCTTCTCTGAACTATGTCTCGTCTGAACTATCTCTTCTCTGAGCCACCTCTTCTCTGCGATTCCTCTTTCCTGAGCGACTTCTTTTGCGCGCTACTTCTTGTCTGAGCTACCTCTGCTGTTATCCCTTTCTTCTGTGCGCATCTCTTCTCTCAGCGGTTTTGGCTACAGTCGCGTGCTTTTTTTGGACAGCTTTCCCACCAAGGCTGGCTTCTGCGGAAATACAGACCTTTCCTTGGCGACTACTCGGGCCACAAAACCTGAACAAACAAGTTTGTTTTTCTACTCGCACTTCTTTTTTTTAACAAGCAGATGCTACCGTGATCAAACGTTTGCACTAGCTTCTGTGTCTACTTCCCAACTAGTGATCCTGCCTGTGTGGTTGAATCGGTGAGCTGAAAGCTACCCATTGACATTTGCGCGCAACTCCGAAGTGACACGAAGCATTTTGCAGAGGTACACTGGAAATTCCAGAATGGTCTCTTTGGAGCAAGCAGAGGCACCGGTCCGTACTGTCCTCTGGTACTGGAAATGTTATGGGCTGTGCAGGTTCACAGACAGTCCTTCATGCTGGTTGCAGAGGCGCAACTGATGAATAACAATGACAATGACTGATGAAGGTGAACCAACCTCAAACAATTTGCTTTTACAGCGGTGCATAACGTGCAGGATAGACCGGGCCTGATGGTTGAGGTGGTGGCTGTTGTAAGTGCCTCCCTGAGAAACTCTCTCCCAAACCAATGCAAAAGCAAAAAAAGCATGCTCCTCGCCCAGGGGAGTGCGGCTTGGAATTCCAACGCTTCAGTGCTGAACCTTGTGGAGATTGCGAGAACCTTGGTAATCCACCGGCAGGTATCAAAACCAGAGCGCAAATCATGATAATATAATAAGATTATATATATATATATGTATATACATTATATACTATACTATTAAATATATATACATATACAATTATGTATACACAGAATGTCATCTTTGTCTTTCCACTATGCAACCAACCGCTTTGGGTCAGCTGTCGCATGGAATCAAAATCATTAGACACATCAATGTCCCTGAGGCCTGTGTATCATGGTGCGGACCCTGGCCATGGGTTAAGTGTAAAACAAAGAAAATTCCATGAACGGCGATGCACAGGAAATCACAGGACGGGAGTCAGTACATGGTGTCGAGGTGGCTGCAGTCCAGACGGACTGCGCGCTGAGATTCGGATCCTTGATGCACAATCTTCGGTGCGCAGAAAGCTGCTTGAAGTAAGTTCAAAGTGAACATGGTGGTCGTAGGCATTGCATGGAGAGTTTAAAGCAACCTTCGCTCCATTTGATGAAGGATTAATTTCTGTGCGACAGAACTTTTCACTCCACCCGCAGAACTTTGGTCAATTTCATGATTAATTGATTTGATTTGGTTTGATTTGACTTGATTGAGTACCGTGCTTGCTTGTGTGTGTGCTTGTGTCGACATGCAACCACGGTCAGCAGGTATCGTTCCGAACCATTGCTGCCATAGCCTCAGACGATTTCCGCGGAATTGTTAGGTCTTTGAAGTCTCCGTTTCCTTTTTTTTTCAATGTTTGCCAGTGTGAGAATGCTTTTGTAGTGGCTTCTGTTGAGTGCGAGCAGTGGATGGCAGGCTCCAAAGGATACCCACGGAGTTGACGGGGGAAGCACTGGATCAATGGACAAATGAGCCGGTAGAAAACTCAGACGGTGCCGGTGCTGCCCGGTGCTGCTAGCCGACACTGCAAGATCTGCATCCCCTTGATCCCCTTGGCCAACGTGAGGTGCCGATGATGCTCGACGATTCACCAGTGTGGAATTGGAAAAAAGAGGCGTTGTTGTAATGCGTTGTGGACCAAAAGGATGCAGAAGTGCAAAGTAAGACGAAAAGAGTCCAAGACTGAATCAATCTGAACCACATCAATCATCCGTGCTTAGGTTTCATTGTGGGGTGCCATGCCGGATTCATTACTTCTTGTTGCATCAAACTCTGCTCATTTTGCAGGCAACGGATTTGGTGACGCAAGTTACAGCCTAGACTCTTCAAAGCAACAGCAACGGTTGTGATCAAAGCGTGAAGGTAGGAACAAACGCCATTTGTGCCTGCCGCACCTATGTACATACTCTCAGCTTCACTTGGAAGAAATCCCCAAGTGAAGCAGCTAGATTTAATCCACACTCTGGTTGACACTTCGTCGTTCGATGAGTTGGAAAAGTCCTTCGTTTGCTCGCAAAGTCGCAGAGAAGCAAAGTTGTTCTGTCGCTTGAACGTGAAGTTCATGAAGACGCGAGACAGTGATGGGATTCTTGTAATCTGCGACAAGATGTATTATACACGTATAACCTTCGTGAACGACTGAAACTGTTTTCCACTCTCCAGATTAGAGGGGCCCATGGTGAATTGCGATTTGAGCAGGACCCAGGACGGTCTGGCAGAGCTTTGCAATCAATAGTCAACAACAAGTAACCGTCTTTTACGGTTCTCCCTGATATTGACGTTGCGAGTGTAGATTGATGGCACTTTGTGAAGTTTAGGACATGGACAGAGCTGAAAGTCTCGAAACTGCAATTTGCGCTGTGCAGCAGGCCAGGAGAATCATGACAAATTGTGCCCCATGAGTTTCCTGACAAAAAAAACTGATCTGCTTGTGTGCATGAACGAAGTTGCTGAGCAGGCCATTGGGCATATTGGCCTTTCCTCTGAATGGATCCTTTGCGAAAAAGTCAACCAACATCCCAAGAAAAACAACAAAGTCCACAATTGCCTGTCCACAAGGCTGTCACAATTGTGAGTTTCTGGGCAACCCCCGCACGGTTGATGTCATAGACAACCTGCATATCATGTGGGGGCCCACCTGTGGCAAGTACCATTAGGCTTGCTTAGTTTCGTAGAAGCAGGGGTGGTGCCAAGGACCAGTGTGCTGAGCTCAAAACTCCGAAGGCTTGTACCTCAGCACCCCAAAACAGTCTGTGATGCTCCTTCGCAAAGCATCTTACAAGGGACTATCTAGTTCCCAGCAGTTTATGGTTCCCACATAGATTTTACAAGTATTTGCTTCCAAACGGCCCAGAGGTCTGCCACTCCCACTGTAAACCTTCATTGCTGGTTAGTGTGATGCAGGCCATGCGAACTCTGCCCAGATGTTAGAAGAGTCAGGGGCCAATTCCAGACGTCCGCACTTCTCACCATCTCCAGCTTGTCTTGGAGTGCTTTTGGGAAATCTATTCAACTCACGAAACAAGTCGCAACACTTGTTGAAAGTGCACTACTGGATGGTGTTGCCCAAGAGCAGCTTGATGTTTGCAACTCTTGCGCTTCTTGCGCCTTCATACTTCTGTGAGCAAGGTTCTTGAAAAGAATGGCTGGGTCCGGGGTGCCTTGGCACTGCTTCAACCCCTGGCAATCTTCCAAACTTTCCAAACTCTGTATGCTTTCAGCATCTTTAACCCCAATTCTATCGCTTTCCATTGCTCTTGTGCCGTGAGCTGTGAAGCCATCGAGACTATAATCGGTAGCAGTTTTTCATGGCTTTCCTTTCAAGCAATACAAGACGATACATGCGTGTGATAGTGTGTTCATGTTCAATATATGTACGCAGAGCTATTGAAGTTGATGTGATTGGCTGGGAAATGCCTGTCAATCAACACAGTTTTGAAAACAGGCTTGTACGACTAGTCCACCCTAGTCCTAGACAGAAGCTGAGAGGCCAGTTTCGATCTCCACCAGTTCGAGAGCTACTGTTGAGGCACGGATTTGGAGACCAAGTTGGACACAAGACATATTATGCTATGATAAAATGGTGTACATGCACAGACACGTACATTTGATATCTAAAAGACTAGCATAGCTTCCTGAGTACTTTCAAGACAAACATGGTCGATGTTCCGCTACGTCCAAGAGTTGGACATACAGGGAGCTGCGGGAAATGGCGAATGCAGCAAATTCCGCCCATGCAGCGAGTGCAGCAAATGCCGTGCGAGCCCTGTATTTTTTTTGTTAGATATCCGGGACGGCTCAGTGGTACTGCGTCGGATTATAGCAGGCCAGCTATGCCAGCTATGCCTCTTGCAAAGATCCGAGGATCATGGACAAAGCCTTCTCCCAATTCGGTCGGGCTCCTGACAGAAGTGCTGTGCTTTTGGGGTGCTTCCTGAAAGTCAAAATTTTGAGCAACTTTGCAAAATCATGCAATATCCATCATTTCGCTCAAAGAAGCTGCATGGAAGCACAGCTTCGCAGGCTGGACGATGACCGCCGGTTTGAAAGGCAATACACCTTCGAGGCGAAACCTGAAAATAGCCGAGGATTCTAATCATGCAAAACAACTTTTCAATCGACTTCTCTACCCGATCTCTGCAATGTACCGGCTTCTCAGATCCAGCCGCCAACCATACGCAGTGAAGTGGGACCATTAGAAGGTAGCAAGCTAGTAGAAGGATGTAGAAGGTAGATGATGTATATAACTCTAATTGCTGGTACTTTGCTATATATACTGCAAATGCACTGGCAGGCAACATTTGACAAACGTTTTTATCATTGGCTTTTCGGAACTGTTTTCTACAGTAAAGTATATAACAACATAAGTCCCCATTGCATCATCAACGGACTTGTCCTCACACGACCACGCGCACAGCTAGCTGGCAGAGCACCACATCTGGCACCACATAGAAAACCGTGTGAAACTACTCTTCTGAAACTCATGCTTTATCACATGAGTGCTTGTTTGTGAAGAGCTTTGACTTTGTAAACAAGGATTGGATCTTTTGGATCTATCAAGCGGCCCTTCCAAAAGAGATCATCAGTGTGTTGCGACCATGTGTTGCAAGTGCCCGTTTCCAATGTGGCTTGTCAGGTAGAACAACGCAAGTGTCATGTGAGTGTTTATTCTCTTCATATGCATTGAAAACTTTGATTTTGAACATCCCGGCTCCTTTTGAGCTTTGTTTCTCCTCAAACGACCTTGCAGGAAAAAGAAGCACCTGTTGGTGAGGGCACCTATGGTGCTGTGTACCGCGCCTTCTGCAATCTCTCGACACCCTGGCTGACATTAGCACAATCCCATTTCAGAATACAGCAGACTTACTTGTGCCTGGGGACCAGAGACGCGATTGTTGTGCTGATTCTGAAGTATCCCAGCATGTAAACTATGTTGATGGTGTCTTCAAAGTCAAACAAAGATTGCCAGGAAAAAGACGGTCGCCATCAAGCGAGTCAAGATGGAGCATGAAGATGAGGGTGTCGGGACGCAAAGGATGTAGATGCGGTGCTGGGCCTCACGCTCCATAGATCTCCATAGCATATGGTGGGATCACAACAAGTTCTTGGCACCAAATCTGATCTGTGGAAAGTAAAATTTTTGATGACCACAACCTCACCAACTCTGTGCGGTTGATATCAAATGCGTCATTTTTTTGCACGCATGAAATGTAGAACCCTGGAATTACCATGGCTTTGGAAGTTATTGGAAGGTAGTAGGGTAGAATGGAACATGGGAATGCCAAACCGAATGCCCGCACGCGCTGGCTACTTATAGAACATATGGATTCCTAAATACACACACATATATACACGCATACACACATACATACATAACATAATATTACATAACATTGCATAACATTACATAACATTACACAACATTACATAACATAACATTACATAATATTCCATAGCATTACATAACATTACATAACATTACATAACATTACATAACATTACATAACATTACATAACATTACATAACATTACATACAGTAACATTACGGCCAAACACCTTGATTTGCCCGCGCTTGTCCGCGGCCATCTTCGTATGTGCTGAAGACGTGGTAAAAATGGGAGTTTTTTGCATCATGGCTAACTTCATGTTCGATATCGGCACGCACAGCATAGGGACCTGTGCGAGTCTCTTACACCACATCATCATCATCATCATCATCATCACCATCATCAAACCCTTATTGAAGATCTTCAATGGATGTAGAAGTTTAACGGGGCTGGGAGAATTAAACCCTTATTGAAGATCTTCAATGAATGTAGAAGTTTAACGGGGTTGGGAGAATTAAACCCTTATTGAAGATCTTCAATGAATGTAGAAGTTTAGCGGGGGTGGGAGAATTAAACCCTTATTGAAGATCTTGAAGTTTAACGGGGTTGGGAGAATTAAACCCTTATTGAAGATCTTCAATGAATGTAGAAGTTTTAGCGGGGGTGGGAGAATTAAACCCTTATTGAAGATCTTCAATGAATGTAGAAGTTTAGCGGGGGTGGGAGAATTAAACCCTTATTGAAGATCTTCAATGAATGTGGAAGTTTAACGGGGGTGGGAGAATTAAACCCTTATTGAAGATCTTCAATGAATGTAGAAGTTTAACGGGGGTGGGAGAATTAAACCCTTATTGAAGATCTTCAATGAATGTAAAGTTTAACGGGGGTGGGAAATTTATATTCCCTAAATACCCTTGTTGATCTTCCCAATTGAATGTAAAGTCTAACGTTTGATATCCCCAAGTGTACAGCATAGAAGGGGTGTGGGCGAATCGGGGTGTTTGCGCGTAACATTACATAACATAACATAACATAACATTACATAACATAACATTACATTACAATACATTACATTACATTACCATACATTACCATACATTACCATACATTACCGTACATTACCATACATACATACATTACCATACATACATACGTTACCATACTACCATACTACCATACATACATTACATTGCATTATATTACATTACATTACAGTACAGTACATTACATACATACATACATACATACATAGCTATCCACCCACCCACCCACCCACCCACCCACCTACCTACCTACCTACCTACCTACCTACATACTTACATAATATACGTGTAATTAATTATATATATACAGTAATACAGGTGTAAATATTATATGATAATATAATATGTAAGTACATTCTTACATACATACACATACAATAATATGTTGGATTGTAAATCAGCAGTGCAATATTCTTCCAAACATCAGTGTCACTGTTTTTAGACTGTTTTCCCTGAAATTATTCTGAAAACGATGGACCCGTTCAGATGATACAAACTTTCGCCCGTGGACTAAGATGCCCAGCACAGCCATTCGCGAAGTGGCAGTATTGAAGGTGCAGCACAATTGATTGCTGTCAAATCAACTTTCAAAAACAAAGGAAAGCGAACACTTTCTACTTTTACACATTGACTTGTCCAGTACTCAATTGCAGGCAGCAGATCATCCGAACGTGGTGAAATTGTGCGGGACTAAACTGCATCACTGTGTCGGATGAAGCAACAAAACTTCTTTGCTGATACTTGCCACTGAGGTTGGATGTGGCTTGCAGTCCTGGGCGTTTGCATTTAATTTTTGAGTTTGTTGACTCCAATCTGAAGCAGCCAGAGTCTCAGCATTCGTGACGATCCGTGACGGCTACACGGGTTAGTGTGACCTCGCAATATGATTTCGCACAGTCTCAGATGATCTCAGGTGTATGCAATGACTGCACATTGATGTACATTGGCAATCCTAAGGTACATGAAGAAATTTGGGCTTCGACTGGAAGCAGGAGTTGTGTGATTCCGAGAAAACACACCTGACGCAACTACACAGTGCTTAGTGCTTAGGTGTGCTTAGGCAAAGGTGCCGTCAGGGCTGTGACTCGACATTTTCGAAGGTCCGTGCATTGCACAAGCAGCTGATGCAAGGGATTGACTACTGCCACGCCAGAAGGTGCATCTCTTGGCCACCCGAGTATCGCAATGCCTCCTCACCTTGTGCTTGATGAACGAAAATGGCAGTTAGCAACATCCCGAGGCATGGTACAATTTGTAGATGCAGTAGATTTCTTATGAACTTTCTTATGAACTTTCTGCTCGGAGGATCATTCACAGAGACCTGAAGCCAGCATCCAAGTGGTCCCTGTGAAACAGCATGGTTATTCCGTTATTCCTGTTGCACGACAAAAACCTTGCATACATTCGGAGAGACTCTCTGAGAGACTGTGTTGTACTTTAGAGTTTTTGTTCCAAGATTCAGCTACTCAGCTACTCCTTGCCAATTGCAGCCCACGTCTCCTGAGGCCTCAAAACATTCTGGTGGATGGCCAGGAATGGATGAAACCTTTCGAGTCCTTTTGCAGTGCCACCTATGTATGATGTATGTTTTTTTTAATCGCTCTGAACAGTGCAGTTGCTGAAGATTGCTGAAGATTGCAGGATAATTTGAAGATTGCTGACTTTGGTATGGCACGCGCAGCTGGCTAAGATATCCATCAGTTGGTTGTGAGACTTTCGCACCAAATCCGGGAGAAACAAGGCCTTCAACTTGCCGATTCCCAAGTACACACACGAGGCGCCCCCTGTGCTGCCGCCATCTGCCGCCATGTATCCATGAAACGATTTTTTTATGACCTGCGACATCTAGTAAAGGATACTATAGTCGCATGATGCTGTTGTTTTTGGCATGCGGCTGATACGCCGCCCTTGGAAGGGTTGTTAATTTTGAGATGTGCCATTTACGATCCATTCGAAGGGTTGCAAATTTGAAAAATGAAGGTTTCCGAAATGGGGATATAGAATTTGATTTTTGGCGTTGTCAACATGTTGCACATGCTGTCGCATGATCATCAGGGGGGTGGGGGGGTGTATTGACGTCTTTTACGAATACTCCCCTTTCGTTACGGAACATGTTGCCGTTGTTAACATGTTGCACATGCTGTTATATGATCATCAGGGGGTGGGGGTGTGTTAACGTCCTTGACGAGTACTTCCCTTACGTTCCGGAACATGTTGCTGTTGTTAACAAGTTGCACATGCTGTCGTATGATCATCAGGGGGGTGGGGGGGTATTAACGTCCTTGACGGGTACTTCCCTTACGTTACGGAACATTTTGCCGCTGTTGACCATAGAGCCATTGTTGCTGGTACTCAACAAATGCCCTAGTCTTCCTGTTACCACGCTGCCAGCGAGGAACCACAAATAGAAGCAACTGGTTTATCACGGTTCCACTCATTCTCTAACGGTTCCAAGGTATATTTTCACGTTTCCAATGCGTTTTGTCACGGTTCCAACCTGTTTTGTCACGGTTCCAGTCGCTACATCAAACCTTGGTTCTGGAAACTATGTTTGGTTACCTGTCTCATAGGGAACTGAAGTGGTTACCT